CGGCCAAACTGAGCAATCGGGGGAGAAGGGCCTTGGTCAGGGAGGAGACCAAGAACCCGATGGTCACTCTGACAAAGCTCCAGAGTTCCTCTGTGGAGATGGGAGAATCTTCCAGAAGGACAACCATCTCTGCAGCACTCCACCAATCAGACCTTTATGGTAGAGTGGCCAGACGGATGCCACTCCTAGGTAAAAGGCACGACAGCCCGCTTGGAGTTTGGCAAAAGGCACCTAAAGGACTCTCAGATCATCAGAAACAAGATTCTCTGGTTTGATGAAACCAAGATTGAATTATTTGGCCTGAATGCCAAGCGTCACGTCTGGAGGAAACCTTACACCATCCCTACGGTGAAGCATGGTGGTGGCAGCACCATGCTGTGGGGATGTTTTTCAGTGTCAGGGACTCAGAGACTAGTCTGGATCGAGGGAAAGATGAACGAAGCAAAGTACAGAGAGATCCTTCATGAAAACCTGCTCTAGAGCACTCAGGACCTCCGACTGGGGCGAAGGTTCACCTTCCAACAGGACAACGACCCTAAGCACACAGCCAAGACAACGCAGGAGTGCGCTGGGACAAGTCTCTGAATGTCCTTGAGTGGCCCAGCCAGAGGCCGGACTGAAAATAGCTGTGCAGTAACGCTCCCCATCCAACCTGACAGAGCTTGAGAGGATCTGCAGAGAAGAATGGGTGAAACTCCCCAAATACAGGTGTGCCAAGCTTGTAGCATCATACCCAAGAAGACTCGAGGCTGTAATCGCTGACAAAGGTGCTTCAACAAAGTACTGAGTAAAGGGTCTGAATACTTATGTAAATGTAATATTTCAGTTCTTTGTTTATAATACATTTGCAAACATTTCTAAAAACCTGTTTTTGCTTTGTCATTATGGGGTATTGTGTGTAGATTGATGAGGGGGGGGGGGAAACAATTTAATCCATTGTAGAATAAAGCTGTAACGTAACAAAATGTGGAAAAGGTCAAGGGGCTGTAGATCTGTACTTTTTGTAAGTTAAAGACTGGATACATCCTTTCCTCAGGTGGACTCTGAGAAACATGATTAGGAAAACAAATGAGTATATTCTGAACTCACAGAATTGATCATTTTGTAAACAAAGTAATGATGTGCATTTTATTCAGGCAGAATAATTAAAGTAATTAAAAGACAATTTGCTCATTTCCTAATGCATCCATCATAGCTGATGGAGCTGTTTTCTAAAAAAGAACTAAACAAGTATGGAGGTGCCTCTTGAATCCAAATACACGATACTGAAATAATGATAGTTACAATTTATCATTCATATCCTCCCCTCATACTGTTCCCTAGCTACACAGCACTCATCTCTAAAACAATTGAATGTGTATTGTACTCAGGGGTGGACTGGGACAACAATTAGTCCCTGGCATTTTATCCACACAAGCCCACAACTCTGTGCTCCCCACCAATTGTTTCGAGCAAAAAACAAAACAAAGAGATCTGGAAGTGTTTTCCTGTTGTAGAATTGTGTTTATTTTTTAAGGTTCCAAACATACGTTATTTTCTTAACCAATCTAGTGACTAAATGACAGCATAGGTTTGAAAAATAATTATTGGTAGTCTTGGATGCTAGCCAGGGAGAAGTTACAGGAGAGAGGGGTGGTGCGGAAGTAACATTGGTAAGGCTAAGCTTGAATAGTAATTGAAAATTGTGAAAAAACTTATCCTACTACATTCCCATGAAAGTGAGATGAGAACATTATGGTTAATATAGCTATTATGTGATCCATTTTAGTCTGATTAATATTGTAAGGGAAAATATTGTGGTTGGAACATTGCAATGTTGACGCATGGTTCATTTTCTTAAATATCAAACCTATAGCCTTATTTATTAAATCGACACAAACTTGACATGATGGCTGATAGTACATTGTTGAAAGTAACGAGCATTACAAACCATAAACGTGGAAATACGACAGAAATTGTGCACTTCTCACCTGCCGTTACTTCCTTCCCAAGCCTGTGTTACTTTGGCCCCACCGGCAGGTACAAAAGTAAATTTGCGATACTTCCGTTCTCAACTTATTTAATTTCAACTCAATTAACCTAGAAATGAAATGACACTTGCTAATGGTAGAGGACATATATACGTTGTTTGTCATAAAATATGGTAGCTCTATCAATCTCTGAGTAAATAGGAAAGAAAAATAAGTGTTACTTCCATCCCGGTTCTCCGTGCTGAAACATAACATTGGGCATTACAGTATAGCGTTTCTCAACCATTTCTGTACCAGTGACATTTCACACGCTCGCCACAACATATCTCAAGGCCATATCAAATATCTTGGTTGTGAAATAGTTGCTATTGAGCTGAATATTGACAGTTGAGAAGAAAGAAATATATACCTTCAGAAAGCTGATACCATCCTCGCTTCGACAGGGAAAAGGGGACAAAGCTTCCAAAGCTGTGTTTTTACTATACGATCAGAGCGCATTTTTATCTCCAGTGCATGCGGGGAGAGGAGAGTGGCTTACTCGTCCAAGGCACTGCATCGCAGTGCTAACTGTGCCACTAGAGATCCTGGTTCGAATACAGGCTCTGTCGCAGCCGGCCGCGACCAGGGAGACTCATGGGCGGCGCACAATTGGCCCAGCGTCGTCCAGGGTAGGGGAGGGAATGGCCGGCAGGGATGTAGCTCAGTTGATAGAGCATGGTGTTTGCAATGCCAGGGTTGTGGGTTCGATTCCCACGGGGGGCCAGTATAAAAAAAAAATAAAATATATATATATATATAATGTATTCACTAACTGTAAGTCGCTCTGGATAAGAGCGTCTGCTAAATGACTAAAATGTAAATGTAAGCCCATGGGCTGCCGGCCATGTCACTTTTTAAATTGTTTTATTTGTATAAAATAAAATATTTGTGTGTGTAAATTTCAACCAGCCCACCTATTTGCCAGAATTGCCAGATGGCCAATCCGCCCGTGATTGTAATTTAGCAAGGTGAGACGACCCCATCCTCAGAAGGATGGCTCTATCCGTTCTATTCTATTAAGCCCTAAAAATCTCCCCTCTTACCTCCCTGCTGGTTTTAGCCTTAATCCTTTAATACACGGTGTATCTAGAATAGCTTAAATTGCAATTCTCCTGATTTTCTGATGCAGGATTATTTTGCAGTAAGCAAACCCCTCAGTGTGACAGTGGAGAGTATAAACATACAGAGCAGCAGAAAGGGGTTAATGACAATGTCAGAATGCTGTTTATTCCAACCTAATTATTTCCAGGAACTGGAGTGATTCAGAGGCCAAGACAGAGTTGAAAAGTTGTTGTGAAGGGCAGCTAAATCTTGAGTTATTTGCCAGCTTTAGTGTAGATATTCTGTAAAGCAAAGAAGGCCCAAGGGATATTCTGGGGGTAAAAACCTCTGGAAGGATCATCAAATATTCCTGCCAAATGGATGTATTCCTGCCAAATACATCCATATACACTTAACCATGACCTCAAAGTAGAGTAACTAACGGTTGATGTATACAGTAGATTCTTCATTGTTCATCATATACTGGGATGGGATTATGCTAAAGGATTGTATGTATATTGACATCCTGTTATCCAAGATGTGATTAAGCAGGCCTTTAGAATTAAGAATGAATTAAGTAGGCCTATCTTCCATGGTAAAGACAATAAAGTAGTTTACTGCATGTCATTTTAAACACAGTTAGGTTGTAGAAGTAAAGTCAAGCCAAATGATTTGATAATCTCTCAATTTTAATACAGGTGATATGAAACAAATGCAACAACCCTGTTTACACTCTGCGTCGGGTGAGCATCTTCCTGGAATGGTGGATAACATGATCCTACTAGTAGATGTCAGGGGGAAGAGTTACATATTGTACACAACGCAGGTCACTTAAAATAGTATGCAACAAGTAAATAACTGGAGTACAGGCCAGTGACAAATGAATGCATTGTTGAGCACTGCAACACACGAAAAGGAGAAATAATTGTCAAACGTCACATGCACCACAACCCCGAACGGCAGACACAATGTAAGATACTGTATTTGCATTGTTTTTTCTATCCTCATTAAAAAACTTGCCACACAGATGAAGATACTGAATGAATGGAATAAGAAATCTGTAACCGATTCTGTCCTGACAGCCTATAGGATTATCTCTTGAAACAGCGATAAAGGATGAGAAAATACAAACAAAGGCTGTGAGCTGCTGCAAACCCTCCCAACTCTTCACCAACCAATCTTAACCTGAACCCATAAAACCTCAGATTATCTTCAATATTTACGCAGATGTACACAAACTACACTCAAAAAGAAGATTATCCATTTTCTCTTTGCGTTTAGTGCTATTGCACATCCCAAGCCATCCGAAAAAAAGAAAAAAAAGTTTAGCAATACAAAATTATGTTTTCATTTAGTATTTTGTTTCCAGTTGTTCATCTGTAGTTTAAAGATGGGGTACAGCACAGCCCAGTGAATGGGACAATTGGATGGGGTCAATGTGGTGGGCCCGCCAACACCAGTCGGTTCGTGTCTCTCTCCACAGTCAACACCTGCAACGTTTGAACATACCAAAACAAACCCAAATGCTTTTTATTTTCCTTTTTTAGCAACTGATTTTTATTGATCAACAGGCAGAGGTGGGACAAGAAACCAAAAAAAAGGTGTGGTCAGGGGAAGGGGTATACTGGAGGTGGTTATTCTCATGTTCAGTACGTTATGCTGTTTTCTTTATATTATAATCTTGGTTATTATTTCATTACAAAAACAGAGTGGAGGGCCATCAGGTGGTGGCACTGGTTCCTGAAAGACTGACGCATGGAGGGCCTGTTGGATGACTGGAAAAGGCTTGCAGGACTGTGTGTGTGGTGTGGGTGTGTGTGTTGGAGGGGCTTGGGATATGTTTGTGTGTGTGTGTGTGTGTGTGTGTGTGTGTGTGTGTGTGTGTGTGTGTGTTGTTTTGTGTGTATTGTGTATGGGTGCATTGTGTGTGTTGGCTGTAAGGTTTCACGTCAGTTCCACAGTCACTGTGAGGACCAGGGCCAGCACCATCCATATAGGTCCGAGCACATCCACGCGAGGGGTTCCATCTGCAAGGGCCAGAGGAAGAGATAGTCAGATCACTATTTATATATAATATCCAATCACTAGACACACACAAACTAAACTAAATATAAATAATTAAGACAAAACAGACTTGAATTTCAATAAAAACACTGATCAGGTCGTTTTTTCCTCTGCATAATTTAAGCTAAATGCAACCAAATCATGTACTGACAGAGCAGATTTGGTCAGATGTTATGCCCTGGTAAAGGCTTTCAAAACAAGGACAATTGGCAATTCTGGCTCTTTGCTTTTATGGCAACTTAACCACATTCTCCACAACAATTATTTTGCTTCTAGAACTACACTTGAAATAGCCTCATGTTCTCCAGTTGTAGGATTGCAATAAAAACAACTACTACGGCCACTGCCTTCACTCCTTCCCTTGTGTCTCTATACCTCAGTTAATTTCCATTATCAACAATATTCTAAAACATTTGTTAGGACAGCGAGAGCATTTAAGCTCTGACAGAGATGGAAGAGGAGCGGGGTTTGTTGCTCTGCTCTGCTGTGGCCCCTGTTCTAACTGACTGATAGGGTGATCTTCCCACACACACACAGGGGGAGGAGTGGGCCGATCAGCCACTGAGCGTTCAGAAACGTGTGCGGCGACCTCTCGGGCCGTGTTCTACACCAATTTGACTTGCATGCGAGGCATGTCTGTGCCTCGCACTGCCTCGCACTGCCTCGCACCGCGATCAGTGGCTTCCATGCTGACCTGATTCTGTCCTTGCTGTGGCACACCTGCTCCTGTGCTTGCCGGATCATTTGCATATTCAAATATACATCCGTAAGATATGGCAAGCAGAGCAGCAGAAAGAGAAAGAGACAGAGAGCCCTCACATCCCTCTGTGCTTCCTCTGACAATCCCTCATCTTTACATATGATAATCTGAGGTGCTGCAAATGAGGCCCCACAGTGGGTATGAAACAACCCTAATCTCACAGTTCTCACAAAGTGATAAAAGTGGATAGTGACTGAAACATGATTTTATCTGAACATAGAGTGGAGAGATTTTTGGTTAATCTGTTCTTTTGTGTTGATGATAGAATGATAGACATGTATTCACCTGTCGTCAGTTTGCTTATCCATCAAACCCTAACCAAGAAGTAGCTAGAAGTCCTTTGTTACTGTGCCATTGTGGATACAGATTGCATGCTTGTCATCTCAAATGTCTTCAACTACAGTGGCTTGCGAAAGTATTCACCCCCCTTGGCATTTTTCCTATTTTGTTGCCTTACAACCTGGAATTAAAATAGATTTTTTGGGGGTTTGTATCATTTGATTTACAAAACATGCCTACCACTTTGAAGATGCAAAATATTTGTTATTGTGAAACAAACAAGAAATAATACCAAAAAACTGAAAACTTGAGCATGCATAACTATTCACCTCCCCAAAGTCAATACTTTGTAGAGCCACCTTTTGCCTTTGGCACATCTAGCCACTGGGATTTTTGCCCATTCTTCAAGGCAAAACTGCTCCAGCTCCATCAAGTTGGATGGGTTCCGCTGGTGTACAGCAATCTTTAAGTCATACCACAGATTCTCAAATGGATTGAGGTCTGGGCTTTGACTAGGCCATTCCAATACATTTAAATGTTTCCCCTTAAACCACTTGAGTGTTGCTTTAGCAGTATGCTTAGGGTCATTGTCCTGCTGGAAGGTGAACCTCCGTCCCAGTCTCAAATCTCTGCAAGACTGAAAGAGGTTTCCCTCAAGAATGTACCTGTATTTAGCGCCATCCATCATTCCTTCAATTCAGGGCGGCAGGTAGCTTAGTGGTTAAGAGCGTTGTGCCAGTAACCGAAAGGTCACTGGTTCTAATCCCCGAGCTGACTAGGTGAAAAATCTGTCGATGTGCCCTTGAGCAAGGCACTTAACCCTAATTTCTCCTGTAATTCGTTCTGGATAAGAGCGTCTGCTAAAAGAAAAACATCCCAACAGCATGATGCTGCCACCACCATGCTTCACTGTGAGGATGGTGTTCTCGGGGTTATGAGAGGTGTTGGGTTTGCACCAGACATAACGTTTTCCTTGATGGCCAAAAAGCTCAATTTTAGTCTCATCTGACCAGAATACCTTCTTCCATATGTTTGGGGAGTCTCATTTTACATTTTAACATTTTAGTCATTTAGCAGACGCTCTTATCCAGAGCAACTTACAGTTAGTGCATACTATTTATTTTATATATATATATATATATATATATATATATATATATATATATATATATATATATATACATACAGTGGGGGAAAAAATTATTTAGTCAGCCACCAATTGTGCAAGTTCTCCCACTTAAAAAGATGAGAGAGTCCTGTAATTTTCATCATAGTCATCACATCAACTAGAAGAAAAAAATCCAGAAAATCACATTGTAGGATTTTTAATGAATTTATTTGCAAATTATGGTGGAAAATAAGTATTTGGTCAATAACAAAAGTTTCTCAATACTTTGTTATATACCCTTTGTTGGCAATGACACAGGTCAAACGTTTTCTGTAAGTCTTCACAAGGTTTTCACACACTGTTGCTGGTATTTTGGCCCATTCCTCCATGCAGATCTCCTCTAGAGCAGTGATGTTTTGGGGCTGTCGCTGGGAAACACGGACTTTCAACTCCCTCCAAAGATTTTCTATGGGGTTGAGATCTGGAGACTGGCTAGGCCACTCCAGGACCTTGAAATGCTTCTTACGAAGCCACTCCTTCGTTGCCCGGACGGTGTGTTTGGGATCATTGTCATGCTGAAAGACCCAGCCACGTTTCATCTTCAATGCCCTTGCTGATGGAAGGAGGTTTTCACTCAAAATCTCACGATACATGGCCCCATTCATTCTTTCCTTTACACGGATCAGTCGTCCTGGTCCCTTTGCAGAAAAACAGCCCCAAAGCATGATGTTTCCACCCCCATGCTTCACAGTAGGTATGGTGTTCTTTGGATGCAACTCAGCATTCTTTGTCCTCCAAACACGACGAGTTGAGTTTTTACCAAAAAGTTCTATTTTGGTTTCATCTGACCATATGACATTCTCCCAATCCTCTTCTGGATCATCCAAATGCATTCTAGCAAACTTCAGACGGGCCTGGACATGTACTGGCTTAAGCAGGGGGACACGTCTGGCACTGCAGGATTTGAGTCCCTGGCGGCGTAGTGTGTTACTGATGGTAGGCTTTGTTACTTTGGTCCCAGCTCTCTTCAGGTCATTCACTAGGTCCCCCCGTGTGGTTCTGGGATTTTTGCTCACCATTCTTGTGATCATTTTGAGCCCACGGGGTGAGATCTTGCGTGGAGCCCCAGATCGAGGGAGATTATCAGTGGTCTTGTTTGTCTTCCATTTCCTAATAATTGCTCCCACAGTTGATTTCTTCAAACCAAGCTGCTTACCTATTGCAGATTCAGTCTTCCCAGCCTGGTGCAGGTCTACAATTTTGTTTCTGGTGTCCTTTGACAGCTCTTTGGTCTTGGCCATAGTGGAGTTTGGAGTGTGACTGTTTGAGGTTGTGGACAGGTGTCTTTTATACTGATAACAAGTTCAAACAGGTGCCATTAATACAGGTAACGAGTGGAGGACAGAGGAGCCTCTTAAAGAAGTTGTTACAGGTCTGTGAGAGCCAGACATTTTGCTTGTTTGTAGTTGACCAAATACTTATTTTCCACCATAATTTGCAAATAAATTCATAAAAAATCCTACAATGTGATTTTCTGGAAAAAAATTCTCAATTTGTCTGTCATAGTTGACGTGTACCTATGATTAAAATTACAGGCCTCTCTCATCTTTTTAAGTGGGAGAACTTGCACAATTGGTGGCTGACTAAATACTTTTTCCCCCCACTGTATATACAGTGTTTTGTGATGAAACAAAGGTGTGGTTGAATTTATTCTGCCACTGTGTCTTCTTATTGTCTCGGCCTTAGGCCTATACAGTGGGGAGAACAAGTATTTGATACACTGCCAATTTTGCAGGTTTTCCTACTTACAAACCATGTAGAGGTCTGTAATTTTTATCATAGGTACACTTCAACTGTGAGAGACGGAATCTAAAACAAAAAATCCAGAAAATCACATTGTATGATTTTTAAGTAATTAATTTGCATTTTATTGCATGACATAAGTATTTGATACATCAGAAAAGCAGAACTTAATATTTGGTACAGAAACCTTTGTTTGCAATTACAGAGATCATACGTTTCCTGTAGGTCTTGACCAGGTTTGCACACACTGCAGCAGCCCACTTCTCCATACAGACCTTCTCCAGATCCTTCAGGTTTCGGGGCTGTCGCTGGGCAATACGGACTTTCAGCTCCCTCCAAAGATTTTCTATTGGGTTCAGGTCTGGAGACTGGCTAGGCCACTCCAGGACCTTGAGATGCTTCTTACGGAGCCACTCCTTAGTTGCCCTGGCTGTGTGTTTCGGGTCGTTGTCATGCTGGAAGACCCAGCCACGACCCACATCTTCAATGCTCTTACTGAGGGAAGGAGGTTGTTGGCCAAGATCTCTCGATACATGGCCCCATCCATCCTCCCCTCAATACGGTGCAGTCGTCCTGTCCTCTTTGCAGAAAAGCATCCCCAGAGAATGATGTTTCCACCTCCATGCTTCACGGTTGGGATGGTGTTCTTGGGGTTGTACTCATCCTTCTTCTTCCTCCAAACACTGCGAGTGGAGTTTAGACCAAAAAGCTTTATTTATTTTTTATCAGACCACATGACCTTCTCCCATTCCTCCTCTGGATCATCCAGATGGTCATTGGCAAACTTCAGACGGGCCTGGACATGCGCTGGCTTGAGCAGGGGGACCTTGCGTGCGCTGCAGGATTTTAATCCATGACGGCGTAGTGTGTTTCTAATGGTTTTCTTTGAGACTGTGGTCCCAGCTCTCTTCAGGTCATTGACCAGGTCCTGCCGTGTAGTTCTGGGCTGATCCCTCACATTCCTCATGATCATTGATGCCCCACGAGATGAGATCTTGCATGGAGCCCCAGACTGAGGGTGATTGACCGTCATCTTGAAATTCTTCCATTTTCTAATAATTGGGCCAACACTTTTTGCCTTATCACCAAGCTGCTTGCTTATTTTCCTGTAGCCCATGCCAGCCTTGTGTAGGTCTACAATTTTATCCCTGATGTCCTTACACAGCTCTCTGGTCTTGGCCATTGTGGAGAGGTTGGAGTCTGTTTGATTGAGTGTGTGGACAGGTGTCTTTTATACAGGTAATGCGTTCAAACAGGTGCAGTTAATACAGGTAATGAGTGGAGAACAGGAGGGCTTCTTAAAGAAAAACGAAGAGGTCTGTGAGAGCCGGAATTCTTACTGGTTGGTAGGTGATCAAATACTTATGTCATGCAATAAAATGCAAATGAATTACTTAAAAATCATACAATGTGATTTTCTGGATTTTTGTTTTAGATTTCGTCTCTCACAGTTGAAGTGTACCTATGATAAAAAATTACAGACCTCTACATGCTTTGTAAGTAGGAAAACCTGCTAAATCAGCAGTGTATCAAATACTTGTTCTCCCCACTGTATATATATATATACACTGCTCAAAAAAATTAAGGGAACACTAAAATAACACATCCTAGATCTGAATGAATGAAATAATCTTATGAAATACTTTTTTCTTTACATAGTTGAATGTGCTGACAACAAAATCACACAAAAATGATCAATGGAAATCAAATGCATCAACCCATGGAGGTCTGGATTTGGAGTCACCCTCAAAATTAAAGTGGAAAACCACACTACAGGCTAATCCAACTTTGATGTAATGTCCTTAAAACAAGTCAAAATGAAGCTCAGTAGTGTGTGTGGCCTCCACGTGCCTGTATGACCTCCCTACAACGCCTGGGCATGCTCCTGATGAGGTGGCGGATGGTCTCCTGAGGGATCTCCTCCCAGACCTGGACTAAAGCATCCGCCAACCCCTGGACAGTCTGTGGTGCAACGTGGCGTTGGTGGATGGAGCGAGACATGATGTCCCAGATGTGCTCAATTGGATTCAGGTCTGGGGAACGGGCAGGCCAGTCCATAGCATCAATGCCTTCCTCTTGCAGGAACTGCTGACACACTCCAGCCACATGAGGTCTAGCATTGTCTTGCATTAGGAGGAACCCAGGGCCAACCGCACCAGCATATGGTCTCACAAGGGGTCTGAGGATCTCATCTCGGTACCTAATGGCAGTCAGGCTACCTCTGGCGAGCACATGGAGGGCTGTGCGGCCCCCCAAATAAATGCCACCCCACACCATGACTGACCCACCGCCAAACCGGTCATGCTGGAGGATGTTGCAGGCAGCAGAACGTTCTCCACGGCGTCTCCAGACTCTGTCACGTCTGTCACGTGCTCAGTGTGAACCTGCTTTCATCTGTGAAGAGCACAGGGCGCCAGTGGCGAATTTGCCAATCTTGGTGTTCTCTGGCAAATGCCAAACGTCCTGCACGGTGTTGGGCTGTAAGCACAACCCCCACCTGTGGACGTCGGGCCCTCATACCACCCTCATGGAGTCTGTTTCTGACCGTTTGAGCAGACACACGCACATTTGTGGCCTTCTGGAGGTCATTTTGCAGGGCTCCGGCAGTGCTCCTCCTGCTCCTCCTTGCACAAAGGTGGAGGTAGCAGTCCTGCTGCTGGGTTGTTGCCCTCCTACGGCCTCCTCCACGTCTCCTGATGTACTGGCCTGTCTCCTGGTAGCGGCTCCATGCTCTGGACACTACGCTGACAAACACAGCAAACCTTCTTGCCACAGCTCGCATTGATGTGCCATCCTGGATGAGCTGCACTACCTGAGCCACTTGTGTGGGTTGTAGACTCCGTCTCATGCTACCACTAGAGTGAAAGCACCGCCAGCATTCAAAAGTGACCAAAACATCAGCCAGGAAGCATAGGAACTGAGAAGTGGTCTGTGGTCACCAACTGCAAAACCAGTCTTTTATTGGGGGTGTCTTGCTAATTGCCTATAATTTCCACCTGTTGTCTATTCCATTTGCACAACAGCATGTGAAATGTATTGTCAATCAGTGTTGCTTCCTAAGTGGACAGTTTGATTTCACAGAAATGTGATTGACTTGGAGTTACATTGTGTTGTTTAAGTGTTCCCTTTATTTTTTTGAGCAGTGTATATATATATATATATATACAGTGGGGAGAACAAGTATTTGATACACTGCCGATTTTGCAGGTTTTCCTACTTAAAAAGCATGTAGAGGTCTGTAATTTTTATCATAGGTACACTTCAACTGTGAGAGACAGAATCTAAAACAAAAATCCAGAAAATCACATTGTATGATTTTTAAGTAATTAATTTGCATTTTATTGCATGACATAAGTATTTGATCACCTACCAACCAGTAAGAATTCCGGCTCTCACAGACCTCTTCGTTTTTCTTTAAGAAGCCCTCCTGTTCTCCACTCATTACCTGTATTAACTGCACCTGTTTGAACTTGTTACCTGTATAAAAGACACCTGTCCACACACTCAATCAAACAGACTCCAACCTCTCCACAATGGGCAAGACCAGAGAGCTGTGTAAGGACATCAGGGATAAAATTGTAGACCTGCACAAGGCTGGGATGGGCTACAGGACAATAGGCAAGCAGCTTGGTGAGAAGGCAACAACTGTTGGCGCAATTTTTAGAAAATGGAAGAAGTTCAAGATGACGGTCAATCACCCTCAGTCTGGGTCTCCATGCAAGATCTCACCTCGTGGGGCATCAATGATCATGAGGAAGGTGAGGGATCAGCCCAGAACTACACGGCAGGACCTGGTCAATGACCTGAAGAGAGCTGGGACCACAGTCTCAAAGAAAACCATTAGTAACACACTACGCCGTCATGGATTAAAATCCTGCAGCGCATGCAAGGTCCCCCTGCTCAAGCCAGTGCATGTCCAGGCCCGTCTGAAGTTTGCCAATGACCATCTGGATGATCCAGAGGAGGAATGGGAGAAGGTCATGTGAGATAGAGCTTTCTGGTCTAAACTCCACTCGCCGTGTTTGGAGGAAGAATAAGGATGAGTACAACCCCAAGAACACCATCCCAACATGGAGGTGGAAACATCATTCTTTGGGGATGCTTTTCTGCTAAGGGGACAGGACAACTGCACTGTATTGAGGGGAGGATGGATGGGGCCATGTATCGCGAGATCTTGGCCAACAACCTCCTTCCCTCAGTAAGAGCATTGAAGATGGGTCGTGGCTGGGTCTTCCAGCATGACAACGACCCGAAACACACAGCCAGGGCACCTAAGGGGTGGCTCCGTAAGAAGCATCTCAAGGTCCTGGAGTGGCCTAGCCAGTCTCCAGACCTGAACCCAATAGAACATCTTTGGAGGGAGCAGAAAGTCTGTATTGCCCAGCGTCAGCCCCAAAACCTGCAATATCTGGAGAAGGTCTGTATGGAGGAGTGGGCCAAAATCCCTGCTGCAGTGTGTGCAAACCTGGTCAAGACCTACAGGAAACGTATGATCTCTGTAATTGCAAACAAAGGTTTCTGTACCAAATATTAAGTTCTGCTTTTCTTATGTATCAAATACTTATGTCATGCAATAAAATGCAAATTAATTTCTTAAAAATCATACAGTGTGATTTTCTGGATTTTTGTTTTAGATTCCGTCTCTCACAGTTGAAGTGTACCTATGATAAAAATTACAGACCTCTACATGCTTTGTAAGTAGGAAAACCTGCAAAATTGGCAGTGTATCAAATACTTGTTCTCCCCACTGTATATTTTATACTGGCCCCCCGTGGGAATCGAACCCACAACCCTGGCGTTGCAAATGCCATGCTCTACCAACTGAGCTACATCCCTGCCGGCCATTCCCTCCCCTACCCTGGACGACTTGTGCGCCGCCCCATGGGTCTCCCACATGCCTTTTGGCGAACACCAAACGTGTTTGCTTATTTTTTTCTTTAAGCAATGGCTTTTTTCTGGCCACTCTTCCGTAAAGCCCAGCTCTGTGGAGTGTACGGCTTAAAGTGGTCCTATGGACAGACACTCCAATCTCTGCTGTGGAGCTTTGCAGCTCCTTCAGGGTTATCTTTGGTCTCTTTGTTGCCTCTGATGAATGCCCTCCTTGCCTGGTCCATGAGTTTTGGTGGGCGGCCCTCTCTTGGCAGGTTTGTTGTGGTGCCATATTCTTTCCATTTTTTAATAATGGATTTAATGGTGCTCCGTGGGATGTTCAAAGTTTCTGATATTTTTTTATAACCCAACCCTGATCTGTACTTCTCCACAACTTTGTCCCTGACCTGTTTGGAGAGCTCTTTGGTCTTCATGGTGCCGCTTGCTTGGTGGTGCCCCTTGCTTAGTGGTGTTGCAGGTGTATATATACTGAGATCATGTGACAGATCATGTGACACTTAGATTGCACACAGGTGGAATTTATTTAACTAATTATGTGACTTCTGAAGGTAATTGGATCCGTTATTCATTTTTTTGAATTTTTTGAAACAAGTTATTTTTTTCATTTCACTTCACCAATTTGGACTATTTTGTGTATGTCCATTACATGAAATCCAAATAAAAATCAATTTAATTTACAGGTAGTAATGCAACAAAATAGGAAAAACGCCTAGGGGGATGAATACTTTTGCAAGGCACTGTACATCTTGAAAAATGTGTGAGAAGCACAATGGTCTTCATGGCTGCCATACTTACTGTTCGGATTCTGAGTGTTTTTCATCATGGCCGGATTTTCTGTGGAGAGACATGAAGGGGAATCGGAGAGAGAGGGAGAGAGAGACCGAGACCGAGAGAGAGAGAGAGAGAGAGAGAGAGAGAGAGAGAGAGAGAGAGAGAGAGAGAGAGAGAGAGAGAGAGAGAGAGAGAGAGAGAGGGAAAATAAGTGAGGAGATGATGAGAAAATAGAGAGCTGACATGGGTAGACGGTCTAATGATTCCGAACTCTCTGTTCCTAAAGCTCATGGAAAATAACATCCCACTGGTGAGTCTGTATTAATAGAGCTGTGAACATTGGGTACTCTGGCATAACAAGTTAGAGCAGCAGTTAGAACTGTGGTCTGAGGGTGGGACAAGAGGGCAATAGCAGAGCTCCTATTCTAACAAACTCCCCAAACTGCTGGTGTTTTAGCATCCACATGTGATTTCCCAACTCAGTCCACAAAGACAGAGAGAAATCAGTGGGTTTGTGACAGCCCGCCTCTTCACTGCTGAGTCACTTCAGTGTAATCACCGAGGGTATTATATCTAAGGTGCTTGGAGATGTGCATCATTAACATATGAGCACTGCTTTCTGCCAGTGGAGAGTCTCAATAACATCCCATCCTTATACTATATTATACCTGATGATGTATAATGAACAGTTAGCCAAGTGAGCAGAGCTCCAAATATCCACCCTGCCCATGGAGAGAGAAGTGTCTCATTTCAAGGCCACGGGGGACGGTGCCAAGGTCTCTCAATCACCATTTAGCTCCCCTAAGCATGAGTGGAAGCCATCTAGGATATAGACGTAGACAGATAGCCTACACCACACATAGCCGATGACACCTGAGGGTGCATCCGGGTGTTAAATAAGCATTAGTGCTCTTTCTACCAAAACACTCCCCAAGGTAACACCTCCCCAAAGTGGCAGTTTTCCTAGAAGGAGGCTCTTTGAGCTCGTCCAACAATTTGTAAATTTCGGACATTTTCTAAACCTTGCTCACGGAAGGATGTCAAGGTGGGAATTTATCAAATGATGGACAGATCGTTTCTTAGTTGCATTATGACAGTGCAGGCAGATTACTGTGGGGACACATGTCCCGTGAATATGTTAACCCTGGAAACTAGCCCTTGAACATATGAACACAGTTAGGGTCCAATATACACTGAGTGTACAAAACATTAGGAACACCTGACTTGCACCCCCTTTTTTACCCCAGAACAGTCTCAATTCATCGGGGCGTGGACTCTACAAGGTGTCAAAAGCGTTCAACAGGGATGCTGGCCCATGTTGACTCCAATGCTTCTCACAGTTGTGTCAAATTGGCTGGATGTCCTTTGGGTGGTGGACCATTCTTGATATTCACGGGAAACCGATGAGCGTGAAAAACCCAGCAGCGTTGCACTTCTTTACACACTCAAACTGCTGCGCCTGTCTATCATACCCCATTCAAAGGCACTTAAATATTTTGTCTTGCCCCATTCACCCTCTGAATGGAACACATACACAATCCATGTCTCAATATTCTCAAGGCTTAAAAGTCCTTCTTTAACCTGTCTCCTCCCCTTCATCTACACTGATTGAAGTGGATTTAACAAGTGACATCAATAAGGGATCATTGCTTTAAACTGGATTCACCTGGTCAGTCTATGTCATGGAAAGAGCAGGTGTTCCTAATGTTTTGTACATTCAGTGTATATCAGTTCCATCTCTTGCACAGCAGTTATCTCTAACATGAGAGTAGAGAATATATAATACATAGGAGAAGTCCTTCATCCTCGGTGCAGCGGATTTGATTAAAACAGAGAAGCTATGATTGACAGGCCTCTGATGAGTTTTAATTCCAAAGGGCTCAAGGGTAAACACATCCAGGGCAGCAGGACATACAGCACAGGAGTAATAGAGTCAGCAAACAGTCCAACTACCCCACATCAACTAAAGCAAACTGGGACTGCGATAAATAGCACATCATGAAAAGCCTGATCTAGCTTGCACGTGGTGGGTCGTTGAACAAAGAGGTGGGATGACACTGTGAAATAAAAAATATCATTTATTCTATTATGGGCCTCTCATGTGATTATTAGCAGTCAGTGTTGGAGAGAATGGGTACAATACACACTGCTTGTGGCATTATAATGGCTGTTGGATTTCTACTCACCCAGATGAGAAGCATTACTCACTTATGTAAATCAACCTTTGTTGGAGAGGCATTGTTGAGTCATTTAGTGATACAATCACTTATTAATAATGCACTTAGTTTGCATAGATAATTCATATCTAAAAATGGCCACATAAATCTATCTTTTTTTAACATAAATGCGATGCTTAACACTGTATGTGGATGAATAATATTAACAATTTTAATGGTGTTTGAAATAATAATAAGGAGATTCCTTTGAATAGTGGGAATAAAATATCCCATGAATAAGAATTAGTGTTACGTTTTTGAATCTCTGCAATGCTCTCTAGGATTAGAGAATATGGTGATGAGTTTGGACACGTACCAAAGACGATGAGGCGAGTGTGCGTGTCCGTGGAGCCCAGGGGATTCTGGGCCGTGCAGCGGTACATGGAGCCGTTGAGTTCAGCTGGCACTCTCTCCAGAATCAGCTCCTTTCCATCCCACTCGGCACTCCCGTCCAGTAGACGGCCCCCGACCCGGGTCCAGGTGAAGAGGGGCTCAGGGAAAACCTCATTCTATCAACAGACCACCCCAGTGTGTGTGAGGGAGGGAGGGAGGGAGGGAGGGAGGGAGGGACAAGCGGTGAAAAAGAGATAAGTCCCAGCCAAAAGATTAAGAACAAAGGCTACATGAATAATACAAGCTCTATTTCCCCCTAATGCAATGGTGAGTTAACAGCATGCATTAATAATCAACACTACATTTACAACATTTTTCTCATTTTCGTGCCTCTTCAGAGAGTTTCCCACACAGTTTAAAAATATTCCCCTTTTCAAAAGGGTTGTCATGGTTATAGCTAGATATTAAGAGGGCTATTCTTCCTCAGAGAAGAAGCCTCCTGCTGTCCTCCTCTGGATATCTTTTCTGCCATCTGCTGGATACAGACATGTTATTAGAATCACGTCAGCTGGAGAACACGTCAGCAGGAGAGGGGAGGGTGTTAAGTAGAGAGAGTGGTATGAGGGGTTGTGGTGCTCAAAGGTTATTCAGAGGGAACAACACATCATCGGGAATTATGATCACTCCACACATGGTCAAAGAAGAACTGGATAGGGGAACTCTACTGTTTCATCTAGTCTGCACTGCAGGACTGAGGGCCAAATCTGTTGCTGTCATGCATCTTGGGTGAAAGGGCACAAAGAGATTGACAAACAATTGACGTCTATTCCTGAAGAAAAGTGTGATGCAACAGAATGAAATTCCATTAAGTTAAACTTACTGTTAGTGATAATCTGACTAGATTTTTTTTTAGCAATTAGAAATGTGACATCCCAGCCCTTTTAAAGAATCTATGGCGACTTGACTCTTGCCACTTTGTGTGACCCATAGAAATGCTTTAATGAACTGAATGTCTGCCTTGACGAGCTGGTGTGTCATCGTTCTGACTAAGCTGGTGTGATTTGTGTAACCTTCCAAAAACGACTGCGCTGATAAGAGTTCTTGAACCTCCGAATTCACATGATGACAGAAGTGAAAGGGGTTTGTTGATCCGGGGCAGTCTCATGGCATAAGGTCACATCAAGATAAAAAACATTGAAAGGTCCGAGTGAGATCTTCCTGTCACATATCCCCAACGGCCTTAGAGAAACCAAATTAAGAAGCCCAGCCCCAATGAAAGAGTCAGTGCCTTTCTCATCTTCATATGTATTAACACAGATTGGGGACTAAGCATATCAATGGAAAGAAAGGCATAACCCTGCACTGTGTGATTATGTATAATTATGATACTATAAACCGTAGGGGATACTGATATATTTTTTATCACACTATGAGAAGGCAAGAGAGGTAAAATATGTTTTAGCACTAAATCTTATTTACTAGAGAAACCCCAGAGTCTTGGTCCAGTGAAGGATAAGGGAGATTTACTTTGGGATGAATCTCCATGCACTGATGCCTGCTTACGAAGGGCCCAATTGGCTGTATGTCCCAGTCAAGCCTGTTTATAGTGACCATTCTTAACACTATTCGAAGGACAACTTCAAATACTATGAAATCAGTGGGTGGAGATACTCGTATACATCTGCCCAGGTTTCAGCCTGCTGCACTAAACTAAACTTAAAGGTCCATTAGCATGGCCTATCAGAATTAGCCTTGTCCTCTCCACCTGGCTGGCTCTAGCAGGCAGCGCCACCACTGTGTCATCCCTACTCCTGTCACTGAGATGGGGATCAGCTAAATACCATTCACACTGCTGGAAAGATTGTCTTTTTTTGACAGAGGATGATAGTTAAAAAAAGAACAAATCCTAACTGGAATGCCCTAGCAGGAACAAACCCTCACTCTGCTCTGCTGAGGAATCCTCTAACAGCTTGACATGGATGCCTGTTGGCTTAAGGAGATAGACTTAAGAAAACAACAGAACACCAGAGAATTGGAGGTATCCATAAACAAACAGATTTGGAAAGGGTTATTCATTTTTCATTGAAATAGTTTAATGCCTTGAGGCATGGGCAGTACGCAACAGTGAATCAGAAATGTGAAAAGATAGGAATATTCCCCCCCAAAATTAAAACCAGTCACTTTTTCCAATAGTGCACTTATACTTTTTCCACAGAACAACAAACAGTATGCTAGGCTTAGACCGAGAAGACGTATGGTATATCCCTCACCCTGTAAGAATGGTCACTATATCAGAAAACTCGACAGGCTTAACTGCACATCTCCCCTGTCCCCTCCTATCCCAAACTGAACATGGCTCTCCGGTTTCATAAACCCCCATGCACTTACCCCAGGAACCCCAGCGCCTACCTGGAATCCTTGCACAGTGATGCGCACCGTGTCCCCTACCTTTGCCCTGGTGGGGGTCATCAAAAGCTTGGGGCCCTTAGGAGCGCTGGGAGAGAGAGAGAGAAGAAAGAGAAAAGGAGAGAAAAAAAGAAGTGTCATCCCAGTGGCATGTCAAGTAAATCCAGGAGGCACCTTTTTCAAATCAAATCAAATCAAATCAAATCAAATTTTATGGTCACATGTGCCGAATACAACAGGTGCAGACATTACAGTGAATGCTTACTTACAGCCCTAACCAACAGTGCATTTATTTTAAACAAAAAAGTAAGAATAAACAAAACAAAAAAGTGTTGAGAAAAAGAGCAAAGAATAAATAAAGTGACAGTAGGGAGGCTTATATTACAGTAAAATAAGTGACAGTAGGGAGGCTATATACAGGGGGGGTACCGTTGCAGAGTCAAGGGGCGGGGACCGGCTAGTTGAGGTAGTTGAGTAGTATTACTGTGGGTAGAGTTAAATGACTATGCATAATACTTAACAGAGTAGCAGCAGCGTAAAAAGGATGGGGTGGGCGGCCAGTGCAAACTAGTCCGGGTAGCCATGATTAGCTGTTCAGGAGTCTTATGGCTTGGGGGTAGAAGCTGTTGAGAAGTCTTTTGGACCTAGACTTGGCACTCCGGTACCGCTTGCCGTGCGGTAGCAGAGAGAACAGTCTATGACTAGGGTGGCCTTTTTAGTTTGGAGAGGGGTAGAGAGGGAGAGAGAGGCAAATACAATTTCCTGTCAATTAAGGTCATAGTGCAAGACCCTAGGGACCTCCATGTCCTTTCATCAACAGCTAAGACCACGGTGGATTTATTTCCCCTTGGAGAGAGGGGACTAAATTGGATAGATAGTCATTACTGGAGGAGAATCGGAGCTCCCCAGGAGGAATGTGGAGGCAGCGAGATAAGTAATACTCAGAGTACCTTGTCTTGGTACAGACAGGAGTCCCCAGATGATATCCATTAGGTTTCTACTGAAACAATGGACTTTTCAGAAGAGGGGAAAGGGAAGCTTTCATATTCTTCACTTTCAGAGGGGCCTTTGGATTGTGTATGGAGCAGATTGAATGAAGACATTGAGTGATTTGCATATGATTTAAGATTTAGTGTCATCTGTTAATCTACTGTATGTAACCTTGTTGATGTACTGTACAGCACTGTAGTAGGAGGACAGAGAGTAATTTTGTGGTGATGTGGCCATCATCGTGGGTTAAATTGGATCTGCATAAACTGGTTCTGCATTGTTTGAGTTGATTAACAATTTCCCTCTAGATAACCATATAGAACGCTGTGTGATCCCGAATGTTATACAATGAACCAAATACAAGTGATGAGATTTGGTTGGGTAAGGGGAATCCTAAATAGGTCAGAGATGCACGCACAAGTCTAGTTATTCAGGAACCTTACAATGAATCAAATGCACACTTCTCAATATAAATCAAGTGCTTGTTTCAATTGATGAGTGAAACTAAAATAAATAAATAAATAAATAAATAAATAGATAAATGACCTCAATTTCACACATAAATCAAGTCACAAAGTGTTGGCCGAACCAAATGAAGCATCCCTATTCTTGGGAAGTCACTGAATCTTACCCTGCATCTGGCTAATGGAATAGGAGTTCCTCTGTCACATTTGAAATGGGGATTGGAAATATGCATTGCACATATATATCAAGTCAGTGGACTCTTTTAGATAACAGGATCTCCTTCCTTCTCCTTCTGTTGCTCTCTTCCAGAGACATGAATCAGATGGAGGCATCACAATGTAGAGCACGGAGTGGTGAAACAGACGCAAGACTAGCGATACACATGAGAGATTAAAAGCTTGTCAACACAATGACAACAATGACATCACTACAGTTACTACGTTGAAATGAAATGGAGGAATGAATCATGTGTAAGAATAATATATCTGAAAAAACTGGGCAGAACTATTGTCGAGCACCTGTATTGTGTTAGGCCTAAAGTAGCCATATCAATCATCGCCCCATAAATGAAAGATATGACATTGAACCAAGCTCACCATACACATCAAAATAACAGTATTATGCTTTAAGTGGTCTCAAGTACATGATGAAGATGTCACCTTGCCAGTTATCTGAGGAGTGTGATTGCTAGGCTGCCTGCTTCCCACCTCCCACTTTCTGTCTGAAGGGTATTTTCAGTATTGGTTTCATGGCGTCACAGTCCTTGCTGGCACCGCCAAGAGGATGATTGTTGATTTCTGGGACCCACTCCAACAACGACAGTTGGCGTCACACGTCATCACCTTAGATTAGGACAGCATGCAATGTGACTGACATACTGCGCCACCCAGGAAGGCCCTGGCCTCACAGGGAAATAAGTCCTGGTCTCCCAAGACGTCAGCCAGCAACCCAACCTCCTCTCTTTACAGCATGGAACTGTTTTTATTTTTATTTTTTATTTTATTATTACAGCATGGAACTGTTAGCACTGTGATGGGTCAGTGCACACACAGTGCCCTCAGTAAACAACAGCGCTCGCTGCATCAGGTGTGCTTTGTGATCCAGCCAAACATCAGCAGGCCTCTGACTCTACAGATTTGGATGACTGCAGATAACTCGAAAATAGACCGAGAACCTGCAGTATTGGCTGGTTGAGTGGTTTGACTGTGTGGTAGAGAGAGCGAAGACAGAACCAACAATTGAAAAGGAGTGACTGTAGGATCATTGCGTCATCATCAATCCAACACTGTATAATTCAGCGCACACATCCAACCCGCAGCCTGGACTGGACTTCATAAAACAGCAAGATGAAAGTGTGATAAATATGCAGATGAGACGCAGGTGAACATAGAGACACACACATGCACAGATGCACGTATGCACACACACACACACACACACCGCACAGACCAACACACAGAGCATCTGCTCTCTGATTATCAAGTCTGGCGAGGAAATGACTGGTGAACGCAGCCGTGGATAATTTCTCAGCACTGTATATGAAATTATAATTCCTCCAGTCTTTTCATGCTGCTGAATAATAGACCATGCAAATAAAAGGAGTAGAGTACTTTTAATTGTTCAGATGCACTGAGTTCATAAATTCTGGAATGGAGAGTCCCAGGTGAGAAACTCAGAGGTGTTGCTCATTCTGAGAGGCTCCCAAGACCCCAGCCCAAATCCATTTGTAAGGCGAGCACGGAGCAGCTTGTGAATATTCATGAAATGTAATACAACATTGGTCGGTTGTCAGACTGTCGCTCCGTCTCATGTGGCAATATTAAATCAGTGAAATATTTATTACTTATGGGCAGTGCAAAGACTTCCTTTTCCTTTCCTGACCAAATACACATTGGAAAGCCATGGCCAAGGAAAAGGAGTGGATGACACGTCCCAGGAGCAATTAGCTGGCTTTAACTGTATAATCAGAAGACCGAGTTCTGCCCAATCTGAGGGCTGGATTTAAAATGTGTCCCATTTTAGATTATCACATTCTAACAGGATATAAGAAATCATGTTTTGAAGTGGTGACATACATTTGCTACATCAACACCTGTACTGTCTATTGTTGCATAGCCTACCCCAAGAGCTCTCACTCATACCACCCCAGTTCGAATCTGCTCCAAGCAGGTTTATGAATGCTATGAATTTCAAGTGTGCTCCAATTAAAATCAACAAATGCACATTTTCTGTTCTCTATTCTCAGGGTGGTGAGGAGGAATATCTGGAGAAGCTCTTTCCATCTCTTTAAAGAACAAAGCTACTGATAAATGAATGGCTTGAATTGCAGCATAAAAAAGCTTTGAGAAAATATGAAAGGCATTGACAGTTAGCAAGGCTTTCTCTGGGCCTACATCCCTCTGGGCCGAGTATTTTTTACCATCAACATGTAACAACAATAAAGAGGAGGCTGTTTAAATCATCACTCCCGCAATTTGTATTGAGAAGACAGATAGATCAGGTGTAGGATCTTAATTTGAGCCAGTTTGCTACAACAGGAAATGTGAATTATTATGTGGATTATAATTAATGGACAGTTTTGTAGGGTTGATACATTTTTCTTAAGGGGAAATCAAGTCTGGAAATTACCAACTTCAGAATCCTTTTTAAACCTCACATACACTGCAGGTTTAAACATTCAGGCATTGCAGGAAAGTTATCCTGCAACAGGGTGATCAAATTAAGATCCTATATCAGTAGATCCTTATTAATCTTTTCATGATAGTGTTCTTATTCATATGTGTTATATTCCTGCTTGGCATGGGAGCGTTAATATATGAGAGTAAAAATATAAAAATATTAACAGGTTAAACATTTATTATTTGCACTATGCAGGCTCTTAAGCACTAAGCTGTCTCTTTCCCTGGCACATAGCCACTTGTCAGCCATGGTTGGTAAATCATGTATAGGCCCTAAACACTGGTCCTTCCATGTTGGTTGAGTGTTTTCTAGCTCCGCTGTTGTTGTTGCTCTAACAACAGAAACACTATGAAAAGCTAAAGGGCGAGCGGCTTGTGCCGCCCCCATGTCTATCAACACAACACGTGAGAAAGGGACACTTGCAGGAGGAGAAGGCCCCTCTAAAGGAGTGAAGGAGATTAAAGCTGGAGCGCTGAGAAAATGGAGTGTGCACAAGATCATAATAGTAAATGAAAACGAAAACTAATCATGAAAAAAACGATTTAGTGAACTGAAATAAAATAATTAACAATCCCGTTTGAAAAACGAAAACTATACAGAAACTATCATCTTTGACTCCAAAACAAAATAAATAAATAAATGGCTCCTAGCCTCCCACGCATGCTTTCTGTCCCTAACACTGAAACTGAAGCTAAATAACATAAAAACGAAATATACTTTTTTTTATACAACTCAAACTAGATAAATACTTGAAAATCAGGTATGAAATCTCACTGAAACTAAACTGAATTTCAAATAAAAATCTAAAAACGAATAGAAATAACGAATATAAAAACATACAACTATAATAACCTTGCGTGTAATCTGTACCAGCATCAGCAACCTCTCCTTTCCATACCACACTCTGCCCTCTACACCCTTTTCAGTAAAGCTAATGGCTTTGTTTATCATCTCAACAATGCATTGCTTGTCTTTGGGAGGACAACGCAAACACGTCTTTGAAGTGTTAATGAGATCTGCTGGAAGCCATCTTGGCTTCAGACTTTAAAACGAAATAGTCTCACTCTCGGATCATTCTCTTATCAAATGTTTTATGTTTTATGCATTCAAAAGTTGTAACGTACACTGAGTATACAAAACATTAAGAACACCTGCTCTTTCCATGACATAGACTGACCAGGTGGATCCAGGTGAAAGCTATGATCCCTCATTGATGTCACTTGTTAAATCCACTTCAATCAGTGTAGATGAAGGGGAGGAGGCAGATTAAATAAGGAATTTTAAGCCTTGAGACATGGATTGTGTATGTGTGCCATTCAGAGGGTGAATGGGCCAGATAAAAATGTAAGTGCCTTTGAACGGGGTATGGTAGTAGGTGCCAGGCGCACCGGTTTGTGTCAAGAACTGCAACGCTGCTGGGTTTTTCACACTCAACAGTTTCCTGTGTGTATCAAGAATGGGCCACCACCCAAAGGACATCCAGACAACTTGACAACTGTGGGAAGCATTGGAGTCAACATTTGCCAGCATCCCTGTGGAATGCTTTTGACACCTTGTAGAGTCCATGCCCCGACAAATTGAGGCTGTTCTGAGGGCAAAAGGGGAGTGTGCAACTAAATATTAGGAAGGTGTTCCTAATGTTTGGTATACTCAGTGTATATTTTCTTAACTTTGATTATTTGCGGAATCAACTACAAACAAATAATCCCACAGTTACTTTCCCTCGTTTATCCTTGAAACAATTTAAATGAAAGTAAAGAAACCTCTTCCAATACAGGACATTTGTTGAGATTGTGTCATCATATTTAGAGCATATGGGAGGCAGTGATTTGTATCAGACGTGTGGGTACACAGATTCGCCTCTACATTGACTTCACGTGGCTGGTTATGTTTAAATTCTCATTTGGCTTCCCTTATTCAGGTTGACTTTTTCAATAACGGTTGTGAGTTAACTCAATCTAGCAACAGACAGCTCAATGAATTGCCCTGTCAGTCACTACAGAGTTTTGCATTCCACTCTAAACTCGCAATCTACTCAGCTGTAACACAATTAAGCATAAAATGGAAATCAGTGTTGTTCGGAGTAGATTTGCGAGGGAGACATAAGGAGGCTTGAGTAAGGCAGAGATTGAGTAAGGCATCGGGGAAACAAGGAGAGAAGGGGAGAGGAGTGAGTTAGGGGAGGGGTATGTCTGTGTTGTACTCACCCAGTGTGACCTCTGTCTGCATGGGCATGGACAGTGCTGGGTGCTTGACCTCACAGCTGAACATGGCATCATTGTCAAGCTGGGGGTTAAGAGTCCAGGTGAGTCTGGCCTGCACCAGCACAGAGCCATCACTCTGGGGGATGTGGGTGTGGCTGAAGTAGTAGAGTGGGTCAGTGCTCTGCACCCAGCGGGGGAACTCCCGGCTCACCACAGTCTCTGGAATGACCTCTGTGGCAGGGCTGGGCTGCTGCTGCTGGCCCTGGGTGTGCTGGCCCGGGTTACGACCCCGCTCAGGGCTCTCGGTGAACAGGCGGGCTGGCCGGCCATCTGGATCCAACAGGGAGAGGGACCTCTGCAGCTTGGTGTCATCCAGGTCCCTGCTGATGAGCGGCCTGGCACCCCGCACCCCCGCTGAGCCACCACCATCCTCTGCAACAGCTGAGGGGTGGATGTAGGAAATCACCTCTATCAACTCTCCATCTCGCTTAAAGTACACCTGAGAGAGAGAGAGAGAGTGAGAGAGGAGAGGAGAGAGGAGAGAGAGAGAGAGAGAGAGAGAGAGAGAGAGAGAGAGAGAGAGAGAGAGAGAGAGAGAGAGAGAGAGAGAGAGAGAGAGAGAGCAAAAGAGAGAGTGAAAGAGAGAGATAGACAAAAAAGGGGAAAGAGAAGGAGAGATTTGGGTTGAATTATATCCCTTCCAGTATTCTTATTACAGCTTCAAGTGGTGATAATGGGCTGTGGTTAGTCAGTCACCAGTGAGCTGGTGAAGAGGAGATGTGTCAGAGCTTTGCTCGGTGCTGGTGTTCAGCAGGGCTTTTCTGTGATATTACAGGAGTTTCCTCACTATTTCATGGGGGTATTAAGATCCCCGGCTGGTAAATCTCTTGACAGGGAATTCAAGCTCCCATTTCAACACATAACCTCCAGATATTAGCTTTAACATCAGGATGCAGAGCTACTGCCAGTGGCATTGCTAGTTGTGAAGCTCCCTACTCATACTGTGATTTTAGATGTTCTCTTTTCTTTCTTTATTTGAAGAGAAAAATGTGATTCACAGTCCGTTAGAGGACCTTTGGACATTTGGAATCAATTTGCAAAATATCAAAGTACTGTTAGTCTAATATAGTACATTTCACTCAGTTTTTTGGCTTTTCTGTAAAAGGAGATTGTTGAAGCGTGCTTTGATTTGATGCCACCTCAGGGGCTGTTCAATCTGCTGGGTAAATAGCAGTAATGAGTGTAAACAAGTGTGACGTAAAGCCATGCTCCTGGGGGCTGACTCTCTATGGCTCCATATGAACAGATACCAAGAGGGAGAGAACAGACGACCAGCACTCCTCCTAACATGAACACAACACTTTCAGGTTTATAGGTTTTCAGCTACAGCACATCATAGACAGTACATAGCTATTGATTAAACAATGAACAAGGGATTTAAATGACTCCTCCATAAGGTGTACTGTATCTCCTTGTTTAACACAACAGTGCATGTATCCCTGCAAATAACATGATAATACAGTAGTACTACAGTGTATATTGTATACAGTAGTCACACAAATATCTGTCACGATCGTCGATAGATGATGAAGCGGACCAAGGCGCAGCGTGATAAGCGTACATACTTTATTGTGTACACACACGAACCAAAACAATAAACAAACGATACGTGAAGTCCTAGGTTAAATAACACAAACCTTAACGGAACATGCCAACAGGCTGCCTAAGTATGGTCCCCAATCAGAGACAACGAGCTACAGCTGTCTCTGATTGGGAACCACCCTGGCCAACATAGAAATACACAATCTAGAACGACAAACCTAGAAAACTAAACAAGGAAAAATCCACACCCTGGCTCAACATTTAAGAACAAGAGTCCCCAGAGCCAGGGCGGACAATATCGTTTCTGTGTTGAGAGCCTTAACTATAAACCAACTGATCAGTGCTATGTTGACTTCCTATGCACTGTGCAGACCTACAGTAGGATCTTAATTTGACCAGTTTCTCACAGCAGGAAAATAATCCTGCAGCAAATGTACATTTCAATTATAATTAGAGATTTTTTGTAGGGGTTGATACATTTTATGTTGGGGCAAATCAAGTCTGATGTTTTAAAGTGGAAAGTACAGTCTTTAGAAGCCATTTAAAACCTTGAATACACTACACGTTTGCATTTCCTGCTGTGTAGGAAATGTCTTGCAACAACAGGCTGATCAAATTAAGATCCCTCACTTGTATACCTGAAATTTACAGTGATCAAGGGAGATTAAGAGTGCTGTATGTTCTGACATGTACTGACCTCAACGCCTCCTAAACTGACTCCCTCTATTAACTCTCATCTAATCATTGTATCAACTAATCATTGTACTTACTCCCACCACTACCTACTACCTACCTGCACAATGAAGAATCATTTTGTTTGGGTACTACAGAATTGTGTATAAAACCAATTTGTTAAGAAATGTGGAGAAACAGGATAGTTTCATGAACCTAAACTATTAATGTGCGTGAGTTGGTCTTATGTAGCTGGTGATGGAATGGCTCAACCTGGCCTCAAGGCAATTCGTAAGATTTGGTAAGTAAATATTTTCTCCTCCATTTAGTATTATTACGTTACGTTAGGTTACATTATGATTGGAATAGCGATCGTACAATATCATACGAATTAAAGGACGTATTATTATAGTATCATACATCTTACCCGGTTGTACAATAGCATAAGAATTGGATGACGTAACTTATCATACCTCTTGGAGGACGTATAGTATTATATGTCTTTCTCTGAGACATGGTTGTTTGTTGTGTCTTAACAACAAATGAGAATTATGGGGAGAATTTATATTGGTGGTTAGCAGAACTAACGACAAAGATTAGGATAATTTACGTAAAAGGTTAGGAGAACTGAAATGACAAAGGTTACGAGAATTTAAGTAAATGGTTAAGTGAATTGAGTTAAGGTTAGAATAAGAGTTAGGGGAAGGGTTAGCTACAATGCTACAGTTTTTCCTGACGCGACTCGAACACGCAACCTTTGGATTGCTAGATGGTCACGGTATACGCCCATCCATCCTCCCAGACCAACCTCCCTCCTATCGTTTCTGTCTTCACCCCTTACATTCGTGGAAATTGGCCTATATGGGTAAAGCCAGCTTGGAATGTTTATAACAGAAGACCTATGAAAAGCATATGCATGACCATGGTAGCAATTGAAAGAGAACACTTTGGGAAATTATCAGACCAAAGGTGAGGACACAACAGTTCACCTGACACAAGACTGAATCCAAACATTACAGGATTGTATGTGCATTTTACATTTACAGTACATTCCTCAGCATTTGTCAATCATGAAATCTGAAAATACTCTGGATACATTCAGTAACATATTAAAAATACTCATTGAAGTTTGGAATATAACGTGCAAAATAAGACTAACTGGTGTCTCCAAGTGGCCACACACCTCTCCAAACTGTGCACAGTTCCTAAGTAATTTCAATGCACTTTTATGACTCAAGAAAAGAGCCTTCAACTATTAGGGGCTTTTTTGAGCACTCTTAGCTTTGCCATTGAGGAACTGAAGCAAACACACTTGTAGTTATTTGTTTGGAACACAGCCCTGCATCCCCACCATCACACAATTACTGTAAACGTACCATTATAAATCACAATCTGGGTCAGCTGGGCATCATTCGAAAGCGTATTTTATTGCTAACATGGCTAGATAAGTTATAAAATATGATCTTACAGTGTTATGCTTTCAAAAGGCACTTCAGACAAACAGATTGTAATTTTGGTGTGCATAGAATGTAGTCATGAGTGCATTCAAGTGCTTGTTCCGCAGCAAAAAACATAATTCTGTTCAGGACAACCCAGGGTATAACTCATGTCATCCTTGTAACTGTGGATCAAACATAGCAATCATAAACGTTAATACTGTAAACGACACAAGTTTTCAAATATGGAAATGTGAAGTGCCCAGTTTGCTTGTATGACAAAATCTGCCATTTTCAACCTGTATATGGGATGACAAGGGCTGTGAGTGGAAAGGGCTACTTAACCTTCTGTCTTTAGTAACCATACCAAATGTAACATATCAAGCTTATTCGAGGTGCAAAGATAGACGTACAATACCAAACGTCTGTCCAGTGAGCAGTCTGAATGGCTGCCTTGACATTTGAAAAAGCTCTGAATCCACAAAGCACCGTGCTTTAATCTAGAACATATAACAAAAACAAGCTCTAGGATGTGTCCTTCCTATTCAGAAAAAAATCTGTTGTATGCACTGCTGACCAGTGTGGGGCACTATCTCTCCTACTTTTCCAAACAATGAAGTGAGTGCTGTACCAATTGTAAGTCAGAAGGACTCACGATTCATACAACTCTACAGTAGAAAGACATTTTGACAGAGAAAACTGTTGCTTCGAGGTTGTTTTATACCAAAGGAATCATTGCATGTTATTCAAGACAGTAATAGGAAGGATACCTTGTGTAAGGTCTGGAAGAGTTGCATTTAATGGACCTCAGGTGCCAGTGAGAGAGCATCATTGTGGATGTCTATATAATCCCATTATCATTTTATATAGTACTTTATGTTACTTTGAAGTGGCTCAATAATTAAGGATCATTCATACACATACAATGGGGGCTGGAATTATTGGATACCTTGATAAAGATGAGCCAAAAATATATACACATACTGAGCTATATTGTATGCTATTTTTTATACATTATATTCTGAGAAATAGATCTTGTAAAAAATAAATTGGAAAAAGATAGGGGTCAAAATTATTGGCACCCCTGTTTTCAATACTCTAGCACTCTCCACTTGCGAGGATAACAACATTCTAAAATATTTTATGAGATTGGAGAACACATTTGGAAGGATCTTAGACCATTCCTCCATACACAATCTTTCCAGATCCTTGATATCCTTCATCTGCATTTATGGACTGCCCTCTTCGATTCAAACCACAGGTTTTCAATAGGGTTCAAGTCCGGAGACTGAGATGGCCATTGCAAAATGTTGATTTTGTGGTCAATTAACCATTTCTTTGTGGATTTTGATTAGTGCTTGGGATTATTCTCTTGCTGGAAGATCCAAGTCTTTTTTTCTTATCTTTATTAAGGGTGCCAATGAATATGGAGCACACCGTATATACGTGATAGTCAGTACTCTCTGGGAGATAGAAGGCTTTAAAAGTAGGTTAAATAATTATTCAATATTTTATTGGTTTACTATGCATAGCTTACAATGGGAAAAATACCTTTTGTTACATTTCATGGATTCCATTTTATGAAATCCTCTCTCACATTATGACAAAAATACACTGATCACTTGAATTTTCCTTTGAATTTGTGAATACACTTTCGGTAAAATAAATTGAAATTGATATCCTGATATTCACCAGTCAAACTGACCCACTTACCTAAAATACCTAATCCTCAAGTTTTCACTAGGCTTAAAGGGGCAACCAGAAGCTGCTATGTCCATTTTGACTTAAAATAATGATACCTACCCATTGATTCTTGAAGAATATAACCTATAAATACCTCATGAGCCCATCAGAACCCAAAATATAAGCTTGTTTTTCTCCAATGTTTGTAAACAAAGTAAATGTAAACAAACACTATATAGCCTCAAAACATTGTTCAAACTATCATTATGATACTGTATAATGGATGGTTAGTCCTGGCATCTATAGCTCTGTTTATGAATTTGAGAGTGGTTACATTTCTCCAGCCCCATCCCTTAGCTTTTTACAGAAACAGGGGCATGGAGACGCTTTGTTATTGCCCCTTTAATCAGCATACTAGAGGCAATGAAAGCCCCATTGTTATAGAGATGTCTTTAGGCTGGCTACTTCTTTTGGGGTCTGCATATGAGTCTTGCTGCTGGCTGTAATTTAGACAGTGGGCAGTGGTAGCTGTGTTGTAATGAGAAGCTATTTGCGGTTTTCAGTGGTCTTTAGACATGGTCCTTTACAGTGGAATAAAGTGATTATCAATCACGCCTCTGTTCTACATCCCCAAATGCATCAGGGTCCAATGTGTTCAGACAATGGAGCCAGAGCACACACCACCAGCTTCATTCGGATTTGAGAGAGCTTCGACAAACAAACAAAGATGTAATTCTGAACGCCCGCCCAAGCACAATGCTTTGGTGTTAGCGAAATTAAGCTGGTGCGGCACGAGGTAGGCTCTGCATTCTGCCTGTGAATAGACAGTGATGAAAAGCACCTGCACTTCAGATACTGCCAGCCTTAACTCCCTCTCCCTAACACCTCGATTCCAAAGCTCATTTGGAAGCGTAACAATAACCCTTTCTCTTCACCCAATGGCCCAAATACACCTTAATGTTGCCACAATCAGAGGGACAAGGCAGTAATTTACATGGTGACAGTGTGACTCAGAGAGAGAGAGAGAGAGAGAGAGAGAGAGAGAGAGAGAGAGAGAGAGAGAGAGAGAGGGAGAGAGAGAGAGAAAGACAGACAGAGAAAGAGAGAGAGAGGAAACAATGGTAACCATGACTTAATCATCTCTCATTATTAGCTGTTATTATCCTTCCTCTTTTCAATCAGTAGCTACTTGTGATGATGATGTAATGCCTGTCACAAGATAACTATTACTGCTATGTGATTGGCTCATTAAAAGTATCTCAAATGGAAGATTATGCACTTTTTACAGTACCTAGCGACAACAACAACACGCTTGTTGCTTGTATAATACGCTCAAAAGCAGACAAATTCATCTTTCCGGTGAATAACTGGTGAAAGAAAGGAATGGATGTTCACAACCCAGTGCACAGCTCTTGTATGACATAGCAGCAATTGATTACGCTTACATGCTAACCTAAAAAACTCCCACCCAGAAACAAATGATGACTGATCACATAGCTGCAAGGTGAAAGTCTGTAGGGTAACCAAAACACTGTTGACCTCTGTTAAATGGTGTACGTATAAACACAGAACATGCTTTGATAAAGGTTTAGAAAAGCATCTAAGACTGGGAAAATAGAAAATAGAGCTGACAACAGCTCGTTTTGTAACAAGCTCCCAGGCAACAGCACTGACAAAGAGCAAATGAGTTTAATCAAAAACCAGAACGACATTTGAAGTTGCAGTCACAAAACCCAGGCCAATACAGTAGTGCTGCTGGAGCAGATCCTTATACAGCTAATAATGGGGTTTCATAATACCATAACTTCAAACAACAACAATTAATGACATAAGGAGAATACAATGCCATTATGCTCTATGCTTTGGTTAATGACATGTTACAAATAAAAACTACTGGTTGATGAAGCACTATGTAGTGTGGTGTATACGAATTTTAGGTTAGGTCCCATATTTTTTCCTATTATATTGTCATGGTTAGTTTCTAATGTACACATAATAAGCAACTAAAAAGTCTGAAAACATGGGATATACTATGCTGTTGAGTGTCTCTCGAAATAAATCCGAAACGACTTCTTCTGAATTAACTTTTTTATTTATTAATGATTTCCTCCACTGGTTAAAGACCACAGCACTATATCTCCAAGGAGATTAAAACGAGAAATGTGCAGGATTGGGGAGTCGAGAGACACTCCTGTTATAAAATATATCTGTGAACACTGTCAGAATTTGTTTACTGGGTTTTGATTTAGTCCTACTCTGGCAGGGTGATTAGCTCTCCACAGAGGCATTACAACTTCTTCTGGAGTCAACAAAAGTATCCTCTACTATTTAGAATCATAGCATGGCCATGTTACAAACACAGACACACTTTGATAGAGTACTTCATGTATATATACAGTTACTTGTTCCATTTCCTTGGAGACAACTCTCCTTGTCAACCAGTATCCTAATCATAACTCTAAATCGCCCACTCCTACCGCTCAATCTTCATCCAGAAAGGCTGCTTCTTTTGTTACCTCACTTAACCTAACATGAATTTATATGTTTCCTCTTAATGCTTGAACCTCTAAGTGATTTTGTATTGAGTTCATGATCTAGGGTTGTGCTGGATTAGTGATTATTTATTTTTTAAGAGATGAGACTACATAATACTCTTGTCAAATTTCACACTGCCTAACAGTTAAACAAATCAAAGTTCAAAGGTTAAAAGATGCTGTTGAATGATATTGAAGGGTCAAAATGACCTCGAGGTTTTAGGGGTTCTGTTAGGCCATATCAAAATGCATTAAGAGTATCTAGTGCGAGATTTTGTCTATTAAGCCCATTTTATACTTACCAAGAGTCAGATTAACTCATAGACACCATTTGTATGTCTCTTCGTGCAGTTTGAAGGAAATGTAAGGTAGTTTCGCAAGCCATTGCTAAATAGCATTAGCGTAATGACTGGAAGTCTACCGGAACAGCTAGCAAGCCTTAACGGACCACTCTCTGTGAATCATCCAATAGTCTTCTACAGTGATTGGCATATTTGCTACAGAGCTTTTAACACATCATCTACAAAGGATGGTGGAAAAATGGTGGAATTAAAAGTTAAAGGAGAAGGATAGGCTACAACGACCAAGAGCCAATTATACAAGCAACACACGTGTTGTTGCTGCTACTTTATATTCTGAATGGAGTTGTTGTTGTTTGTAACTGTGTAAGACGAGAAAGCGCATGCATCCTCAATTAGCCTAGCTAGATAGCTAGCTAGCTAGCTTAACTAGCTTCTCCCGGTTTGTTGCAGTCAAGACAGGTACTACTTAATCATATTGGATGACAAATAACCTAGTTATGGCAGCTATTAGTCTACTATAGCACGAGTCGGCTTGGTTGGTTGCTATCTTTCGTCTCTCTCTCCCACCTCCCTGTTCCCATGTCACTCGCTCACACTCACAGTAGCCTACACACAGCACGGCCCCTGCTAGAGCGTCACCTTTCTTTACCTCCTTTCCCTTGCGCTTTATCAGCTCCGGTTAATAAAGTAGCTTATAAAATGTACTTTTCAAATCAAATCAAATCAAATCAAATTTTATTGGCCACATGCGCCGAATACAACAGGTGCAGACATTACAGTGAAATGCTTACTTACAGCCCTTAACCAACTGTGCATTTATTTTTAACAAAAAAGTAAAAATTAAACAACAACAAAAAAAGTGTTGAGAAAAAAGAGCAGAAGTAAAATAAAATAACAGTAGGGAGGCTATATATACAGGGGGGTGACGGTGCAGAGTCAATGTGCGTGTCACACCCTGGCTCTGGGACTCATTTTGTTGAGCCAGGGTGTGTTCATTCTATGTTTTCTGTTTCTATGTTGGGTGTTCTAGGTTGTTTATTTCTATGTTTGACTGAGTGACTCCCAATCAGAGGCAACGAGTGTCAGCTGTGTGCTGGTTGTCTCTGATTGGGAGCCATATTTAACTGTCTGTGTTTCACTTTGTGTTTGTGGGTTTTTGTTCCGTGTTCGGTCATTGTCACTGAGGACTTCACGAGTCGTTTATTGTTTTGTTATTTCGTGTGTATGCTTTAATTAAATAAAGCAAGTATGTTCGCAACTAACGCTGCGCTTTGGTCTACTTCTCTTCAAGACGATCGTGACAGAAAAACCCACCATAAAAGGACCAAGCAGCGTGTCCAGGAGCAGGCAGACTGGACATGGGAGGAAGCGCCAGGAAAGGAGATGGAGAGGCTGGCGATGGCCCAGGTGGGCAAATCGTGGTCCTGGGAGGACATGCTCGGGGGCAAGGGACCGTGGGGTAGGATTAAGGCCCTGGCGAGAGAGGAGCAGCGGCGTCAGCAGTGCCATCGTCGGACGGACGAGAGGCACCCCCAATAATTTTTTAGGGGGGGGCACACGGCATGGGCGACTGGGCAGCAGGAGGCTGCCACAGGGCGAAATGGGAGACGAGGAGAGAAGGCCACCGGGTTACGGGAGCCATTGGCGAGAGGAGGGAAGGAAGTTGTAGAGGCACGGCGAGAGGTACTGAGGTGTATTGCCAGTCCGGTCCAGCCCGTTCCTGATCCCCGTTTAAGGCCAGTGGTGTGTGTTCCCAGTACGGTCCGGCCTGTTCCTGCTCCACGGACCAAGCCTACGGTGTGCGTCGCCAGCCCAGTCCGGCCTGTCCCTGCTTCACGCACCAAGCCTACGGTGTGCGTCGACAGCCCAGCCCGGCCTGTTCCTGCTCCACGCACCAGGCCTACGGTGTGCGTCGCCAGCCCTGTCCGGCCTGTCCCTGCTCCACGCACCAAGCCTACGGTGTGCGTCGACAGCCCAGCCCGGCCTGTTCCTGCTCCACGCACCAAGCCTACGGTGTGCGTCGACAGCCCAGCCCGGCCTGTCCCTGCTCCACGCACCAAGCCTACGGTGTGCGTCGCCAGCCCAGCCCGGCCTGTTCCTGCTCCACGCACCAAGCCTACGGTGTGCGTCGACAGCCCAGCCCGGCCTGTCCCTGCTCCACGCACCAAACCTACGGTGTGCGTCGCCAGCCCAGCCCGGCCTGTTCCGGCTCCACGCACCAAGCCTACGGTGTGCGTCGCCAGCCCTGCCCGGCCTGTTCCTGCTCCACGCACCAAGCCTACGGTGTGCGTCGCCAGCCCTGTCCGGCCTGTCCCTGCTCCACGCACCAAGCCTACGGTGTGCGTCGTCAGCCCAGCCCGGCCTGTCCCTGCTCCACGCACCAAGCCTACGGGGTGCGTCGCCAGCCCTGTCCGGCCTGTCCCTGCTCCACGCACCAAGCCTACGGGGTGCGTCGTCAGCCCAGCCCGGTCTGTCCCTGCTCCACGCACCAAGCCTACGGGGTGCGTCGCCAGCCCGGCCCGGCCTGTCCCTGCTCCACGCACCAAGTCTACGGTGCGCGTCGCCAGCCCGGTCCGGCCTGTTCCTGCCACTCGCACCAAGTCTACGGTGCGCGTCGCCAGCCCGGCCCGGCCCGTTCCTGCCACTCGCACCAAGCCAGGGGTGCGAGTCGTCAGTCCGGCACAACTCGTGCCTGGGTCATCGGTGCCAATTCAGGTACCGCTCTACTGCTCCACTAAGGAGCTGAAGCCTACCGCTCCTGCTACGTCCAGTCCAGCTCCAGCCAGCGGGGCCAGACCGGACCAGGGGCGCTATGGGGGGTTTGTTGGAGGGTGGTGGGCAAGCCCGGAGCCGGAGCCGCCGCCGAGGAGGAATGCCCACCCAGCCCTCCCCTGTTTTGCTCGTATTTAGGCGCGGTCGCAGTCCGCGCCTTTAGGGGGGGGTACTGTCACACCCTGGCTCTGGGACTCATTTTGTTGAGCCAGGGTGTGTTCATTCTATGTTTTCTGTTTCTATGTTGGGTGTTCTAGGTTGTTTATTTCTATGTTTGACTGAGTGACTCCCAATCAGAGGCAACGAGTGTCAGCTGTGTGCTGGTTGTCTCTGATTGGGAGCCATATTTAACTGTCTGTGTTTCACTTTGTGTTTGTGGGTTTTTGTTCCGTGTTCGGTCATTGTCACTGAGGACTTCACGAGTCGTTTATTGTTTTGTTATTTCGTGTGTATGCTTTAATTAAATAAAGCAAGTATGTTCGCAACTAACGCTGCGCTTTGGTCTACTTCTCTTCAAGACGATCGTGACAGTGCGGGGGCACCGGCTAGTTGAGGTAGTTGAAGTAATATGTACATGTGGGCAGAGTTAAAGTGACTATGCATAAATAATTAACAGAGTAGCAGCAGCGTAAAAGGATGGGGTGGGGGGGCAGTGCAAATAGTCTGGGTAGCCATGATTAGCTGTTCAGGAGTCTTATGGCTTGGGGGTAGAAGCTGTTGAGAAGTCTTTTGGACCTAGACTTGGCACTCCGGTACCGCTTGCCATGCGGTAGCAGAGAGAACAGTCTATGACTAGGGTGGCTGGAGTCTTTGACAATTTTGAGGGCTTTCCTCTGACACCGCCTGGTATAGAGGTCCTGGATGGCAGGAAGCTTGGCCCCAGTGATGTACTGGGCCGTATGCACTACCCTCTGTAGTGCCTTGCGGTCGGAGGCCAAGCAGTTGCCATACCAGGCGGTGATGCAACCAGTCAGGTTGCTCTCGATGGTGCAGCTGTAGAATTTTTTGAGGATCTGAGGACCCATGCCAAATCTTTTCAGTCTCCTGAGGGGGAATAGGCTTTTTCGTGCCCTCTTCACGACTGTCTTGGTGTGTTTGGACCATGATAGTTCGTTGGTGATGTGGACACCAAGGAACTTGAAGCTCTCAACCTGTTCCACTACAGCCCCGTCGATGAGAATGGGGGCGTGCTCAGTCCTCTTTTTTTCCCTGTAGTCCACAATCATCTCCTTTGTCTTGGTCACGTTGAGGGAGAGGTTGTTGTCCTGGCACCACACGGCCAGGTCTCTGACCTCCTCCCTATAGGCTGTCTCATCGTTGTCGGTGATCAGGCCTACCACTGTTGTGTCGTCGGCAAACTTAATGATGGTGTTGGAGTCGTGCCTGGCCATGCAGTCATGGGTGAACAGGGAGTACAGGAGGGGACTGAGAACGCACCCCTGAGGGGCCCCCGTGTTGAGGATCAGTGTGGCAGATGTGTTGTTACCTACCCTTACCACTTGGGGGCGGCCTGTCAGGAAGTCCAGGATCCAGTTGCAGAGGGAGGTGTTTAGTCCCAGGATCCTTAGCTTAGTGATGAGCTTTGAGGGCACTATGGTGTTGAATGCTGAGCTGTAGTCAATGAATAGCATTCTCACGTAGGTGTTCCTCTTGTCCAGGTGGGAAAGGGCAGTGTGGAGTGCAATAAAAGATTGCATCATCTGTGGATCTGTTGGGGCGGTATGCAAATTGGAGTGTGTCTAGGGTTTCTGGGATAATGCTGTTGATGTGAGCCATGACCAGCCTTTCGAAGCACTTCATGGCTACAGACGTCAGTGCTACGGGTCGGTAGTCATTTAGGCAGGTTATCTTAGAGGCACGGGGACTATGGTGGTCTGCTTGAAACATGTTGGTATTACAGACTCAGTCAGGGACATGTTGAAAATGTCAGTGAAGACACTTGCCAGTTGGTCAGCACATGCTCGGAGTACACGTCCTGGTAATCTGTCTGGCCCTGCGGCCTTGTGAATGTTGACCTGCTTAAAAGTCTTACTCACATCGGCTACGGAGAGCGTGATCACATAGTCATCCGGAACAGCTGGTGCTCTCATGCATGCTTCAGTGTTGCTTGCCTCGAAGCGAGCATAGAAGTGGTTTAGCTCGTCTGGAAGTCTTGTGTCACTGGGCAGCTCGCGGCTGTGCTTCCCTTTGTAGTCTGTAATAGTTTTCAAGTCCTGCCACATCCGACGAGCGTCAGAGCCAGTGTAGTACGATTCAATCTTAGTCCTGTATTGTCTCTTTGCCTGTTTGATGGTTCGTCGGAGGGCATAGCGGGATTTCTTATAAGCGTTCGGGTTAGAGTCCCGCTCCTTGAAAGCGGCAGCTCTACCCTTTAGCTCAGTGCGGATGTTTCCTGTAATCCATGGCTTCTGGTTGGGGTATGTACGTACGGTCACTGTGGGGACGACATCATCGATGCACTTATTGATGAAGCCAGTGACTGATGTGGTGTACTCCTCAATGCTATCTGAAGAATCCCGGAACATGTTCCAGTCTGTGCTAGCAAAACAGTCCTGTAGCTTAGCATCTGTGTCATCTGACCACTTTTTTATTAACCGAGTCACTGGTGCTTCCTGCTTTAGTTTTTGCTTATAAGCAGGAATCAGGAGGATAGAGTTATGGTCAGAATTGCCAAATGGAGGGCGAGGGAGAGCTTTGTATGCGTCTCTGTGTGTGGAGTAAAGGTGGTCTAGAGTTTTTTTTCCTCTGGTTGCACATTTAACATGCTGGTAGAAATTAGGTAGAACGGATTTAAGTTTCTGCTGCTTGCCTCGCTCGGCTCAGATTGGGTCTAGTTGTCCTCGGATCTGTTCGGAACGGGTTTCTATATTTTAAAAATGTATTTATGCATATCGGGTCCGGAAGGGAAAGCTCCAGGTCCATTTCCGAACGGGTCCAACTTTTTGGACCCGTGAAGGCCTCTAGTGTGAGGCAGCTTGATGTACAAGTACACACCCTGGACAGGACACTAGTTTATCGCTGGGCTGTCCCCACAATCTATCTCCTTATGTAGCATGTACCCTCTATATTACCTTCTATATGTATTTAGACAGAAGATTACAGTCTGACCAAATCCACTCGTAGAATCATCAGTGATTTGATGAGTCATAAAACTCCTGACCAGATCCACTGACACCCATCTCAGAAACCAAATGACTGCCCCACTGAGTTGATTCTCTGCATTACCAGAGCTACTCAGGGAGTCTAATGGAAAGACTACAGGCATACATGTATTTGGAGAGATGGTCTTTCAGATCTATCTCATTTCCTCCTTCAAGGTTGGGAGAGACGTCCAGCAGAGCAGGACTGTAATGACTTAAAACCAGCTGTGGGATCATTATAGCAGAGTGCCAGGCAGGCCATGGAACAAACTCATGGGGCTTTATATAGGTGGTCAGTCAGTACCTGAGAGACGGAAATCATGTTCACCTTCTATTCACCTCTCACTGGGTTCATAATTAAATGATTTATGGCCCAGTGGGGACGAACAGCGAGTGGCGCCACTCAAGCAGTGTCCGTAGGCTCATAGGCAAGAAGACAGAGAAGCATGTGGCTTCAGCTATCTCTACTACCTTGTCTGCTATCTCAAAAAAGTTTAGGGAATAGCAGTGTGTCTAATGGCAATTCCTGGTACAATCATTACTAATTAGTCACTTTGTGATAAGATTAATGATCCAAACTCGGTCTACCCGTATGTCCATGTTTGATAAAAAAAAAAAAAAAAAAAAAAGAGTCTCTATAATGATTACATTGCCTGGTGTATTTATATTAATTATGATTCACAAGTCAAACTCTTCCATAGAAAATAATCTCTTCAATCATCCCCATCTACAACTACACGGAACAAAAATATAAACGCAACATGTAAGGTGTTGGTCCCATGTTTCATGAGCTGAAATAAAACATCCCAGAAATGTTCCATATGCACAAAAAGCCTATTTCTCTCTAATGTTGTGCAGAAATGTGTTTACATCCCTGTTAGTGAGCATTTCTCCTTTGCCAAGATCATCCATCCACCTGACAGGTGTGACTTATCAAGAAGATGATTAAACAGCATGATCATTACATAGGTGCACCTTGTGCTGGGGATAATAAAAAGCCACTCTAAAATGTGCAGTTTTGTCACACAACACAATGCCACAGACATCTCATGTTTTGAAGGAGCATGCAATTGGCATGCTGACTGCAGGAATGTCCACCAGAGCTGTTGCCAGAGAATGTAATGTTCATTTCTCTACCACAACGTCACTTTAGAGAATTTGGCAGTACGTCCAACCAGCCTCACAACCGCAGACCACTTGTAACCACGCCAGCCCAGGACCTCCACATCCGGCTTCTTCACCTTCGGGATCGTCTGAGACCAGCCACCCGGACAGCTGATGAATCTGTGGGTTTGCACAACCGAATAATTTCTGCACAAACTGTCAGAAACTGTCTCAGGGAAGCTCATCTGTGTGCTCGTCATCCTCACCAGGGTCTTGACCTGACTGCAGTTCGTTGTCGTAACTGACTTCAGTGGGCGAATGCTCACCTTCGATGGCCACAGATGAATCCCCATTTCAACTGTACCGGGCAGATGGCAGACAGCGTGTATGGCGTCGTTTGGGCGAGCAGTTTGCTGATGTCAATGTTGTGAACAGAGTGCCCCATGGTGGCGGTGGGGTTATGGTATGGGCAGGCATAAGCTACGGACAACGAACACAATTGCATTTTATCGATGGCAATATGCACAGAGATACCGTGACAAAATACTGAGGCCCATTGTCGTGCCATTCATCCGCCGCCATCACCTCATGTTTCCGCAATGATCTGTACACAATTCCTGGAAGCTGAAAAAGTCCCAGTTCTTCCATGGCCTGCATACTCACCAGACATGTCACCCATTGAGAATGTTTGGGATGCTCTGGATCGACATGTACGACAGCGTGTTCCATTTCCCGCCAATATCCAGCAACTTCGCACAGCCATTGAAGAGGAGTGTGACAACATTTCACAGGTCACAATCAACAGCCTGATCAACTCTATGCAAAGGAGATGTGTCGCACTGCATGAGGCAAATGGTGGTCACACCAGATACTGACTGGTTTTCTGATCCACGCCCCTGCCTTTAAAAAAATAATATGTGACCAACAGATGCATATCTGTATTCCCAGTCGTGAAATCCATAGATTAGGGCCTAATAAATTCATTTCAGCTAACTGATTTCCTTATATGAACTTTAACTCAGTCAAATCTTTGAAATTGTTGCATGTTGCGTTAACATTTTTGTTCAGTGTACTTTACCTGCTATCTTTTCAACAATGACTGAGGTTATGCCTAAATGCACTGGGCTACACATAACTGGAACCTTTCAGTCATGTGTACCTTAACCTTATTGTTAACAGTGAATTGGCTCCAAGGTTCCTGTCATATGTGTGTTTGGCCCTATATACTGCACTGTATGTGCACTATACAGCATGTGTGACTCACCGAAGGGGCAGGTTTGCCTCCCTTTGCAGTGCACAGTAGAGTGAAGTTCTGGGCCTGGTACCGGCTGAATGGAGCTGGACAGTTCTCTGCCGAAACTGAGATGTTGTTTGGAGGAGCTGTGGAAAGAGAAAGGGACAGGTTAGGCAACAACACATGACAGCTAATACACAGGTGGACTAAAAATGACTAATTATACTACTATTATAAACTTTAAACGCATTATCCTTGACACTGTGTGCTCAGGATCGTTTGTGTCATAAAGCAGGGCTGTTGGCCAGGGCCCTATGCTGTGTTCAGGATCCCCTGGGTTTCATGCCAGTCTAATGGGGCTGGTTAAAGATATGGAGCAGAGCTCATGCATATCATACAGTATTAGCAGCTTATCGCCTGGCCCTCTCAAGGGAAACCTACAAGCATGTCACAGAAAAAGGAAAACATGTGAGCACCACCTTACAGCAGAGAAGAGCAATTGGAGTTAAGATGAGTGAAAAGGAAATAGAGCCCCTCCACATAAATTCAGATGCTTAACATGCAATACATGTTACAGTACACCAGTGCTGGTCTTTTGAAAGCAAATTCCTCAAATAGCGACGCCTCACTGAATGTGTAGATCAATAATAAACCAATCAAGGGAGATATAGGAGTGGATGACCAGGAATGTGAAAAGCGGGTGAGTTGAATTAATGGTTGAATGAACAATATGAAAATTCAGATGGCGGTCACAGTGACAACATCAGTTGAGATGGATGAAAGATAGAAAAAAGTGTAAGACATCTACATTTCCTTGCTACTCTGAATGTTTCATGCTTTCCCAGTTGCTGCATCCTCAAGGCTGGCATTAGATATTCTGCCTGCTATATTATCACATAAAACACTTCCTGTGCCTTCACACCCAGTGTAGAGGAAGCAGAATGCGTCTGGTCCATTTGGCTTCTCTGAGCCTTTATAGGAAAGAAAAACAGTGTGTGAAACAAGGGGAGAGGGTTAAAAGAGAGCCCAGTGGGAGTTCCACCATGAATCTCTCAATTGATAAGACACGCGTAAAAAGATCCTACATCAGCGATGCTGGCCTGGGAATAGAGCCGTTTCATGTGTCACTTTTATATCTAAATCTATTTGGGGGGTTTCAAGCAGACATGCCAAAGCGATTAATTGATTAAAACGAAGGGGGAACATGTCTGATGGCCTGAGTGCCTTTTTGTTTCCACACCTCTTAATTGCTTATTGATGGGGGACGTATGGCTGTAAATTAACCTTAGAACACTCCATTATCTGTCTAACAGAGGTCTGTCTGAAACGGGCATGACTAGCTCTCAGAGGCATCACAGGCCCTGACGGCTAGAGCTCAGAGTACAGCCTTACGTTAAATGTACAGCAGCATAACTGTTTTGCCAGAGCACCATTGACTTCACCAAAGCAAAAGGCTGCATTGCATTACAGAAGGATATTTGAGAAAAACTGGTCATTAACATGCTTTGTTTAATGAGATGCAAAGCCACAAGCCTACTTGACAAGTATCCGCCTCAGACAACTTTTTAAATTGAGAGCAGGAAGTTTATCTTGACTCTATTCTAACCTCATGTTTGAGGTGTAGCTCAGTTGGTAGAGCATGGCGCTTGCAACGCCAGGGTTGTGGGTTCGTTTCCCACGGGGGGCCAGTATGAAAATTGTATGCACTCACTCTGGAGAAGAGCGTCTGCTAAATGACTAAAATGTAAAAAAAGAATGCATAAAACCCTGTGATAGGTACGATGAGCCCTAATGGAGAATTTAAAAGCCATAGATATTGAAGTAAGCCTTGATGAAATATTTTAAATGATTACAAGCAAGACCTGTCATGCATAAACCACGATTTGAAAACACAACAATAACTTGTTTAATCCTTTCAAGGATTAAGATAGTTGTTAGATTTGATATTGGTTAAGCCTTCCATACTCTATTTCATTTCATTCCTCTGTTTCTTACACCTTTTGTGGAACATTATGTATTCATATTTCGTATCATGAACTTTCTTCATTTCACCATCTCATCAGTTCTAACATATTTGTTAACCTCTATCTGCATTTCACAATTCCTCTTCATTACACTTTCCATTTTCAGATTGAAACTGGGATTCTCTACTGCATGGTAGAATATTTATGTGCAAAAGCCATAGCAGCTAAGTTTCCTAGACACACGTGAACAGTGATTAACTCATTTCATACTAAAAAACTATATCCCTGTGTTGTGTAAGAAATCCAGGGCAGAGAAATCCTTTACACTTTGAAGAGGATGTCAATGTCTTTGACAGCTTCTTCTCTGTAAAGCTTCATATTCTATTGCTATGCAGTGACACATGCTCTTTTACTTTGTGGCTGTGCATCCTGACTGCTACAGCCTCCGTAGCCATCTCTATCACTGCATTACATACAAAGGCAAAGCCGGGAAGGACATATTTGAGAGGACGTTTGAGAGGAGGCCTGGGAGGAGAATCAAAGGACGAAGGCTCTCAAGTCCAGGATATTCATCTTATCAAACACTACATTTGAAAGTGTTTGTATGGTAAAACTCTGCTCTGCATTCATTTGCTCCGCCAAGGCCAGCCTTCAAAGATGCAGCCCCTTCTCCTACATCTATACTCTAAAGAAATATAAAATTAAAGTGGAAACCATTTATTTTCCTTTCTCACTCAGCTCAACTACAGAACAGTTCATACCACTAACAGTCCAAGCTCCCCTCTCCCTCCTCCCTCTTGCTCTACACCCTCAAGCACCATTACCCGGCTCTCTTTAAAAAAATAACAGCAAATTGGATTGGAGAGTGTGTGGAGCAGGACCACATTTAAAAGAGCTCACTGGGGACTGCTCTCCCAGGCCTGATAATGAAGGGAATTAGTGCTCTGGAGACAGTTGTGTGAACAAGGCAGCATCCCAACATCTCCTTTTACTCAGCGCACAGGTCTCAAGTCCACATCTCCAGGGTTCGGGGAAGAAAGGACAAAAGGAGAAGGTCCCTAGGTCATTCTTGGCTCCTTTTCACTGAAAGTAATTTAGTAATAACTATTTAATGGAATTATACTTTTTTAATCATGTGGTCAGGGGTCCCAAAGTAATCAGTCCAAATGTCTGCATGACCTTTCATTTGTTTCGGTCTGCCAGAGATTGTTGGAGATGTTGTCCAATGTGGCTTGATCAAAATCACAGACAGATTACCTTCATGACAAATCAACCTCAACAGCTCTCTGTCATTGATGGTGATAATCTACTTATCAGAGTATAGGGCGTTCTGACTCCAAGTAGCAGCCTGAATATTGTATCATTATGTGATTAAACATGATCTATGGCTGACACTGATTTTTGAGTGGATCATCATTTTGTCTCCCCATCCCATAGCATGTCCCAAGTTTCCATATAATCTAATTTAAGTAACATACCCCTGTACGTGGCAATTGATGCTAAAATGCAAGCTATTATTGCAGACTTGGAAACATGAGTTCTTTTAAATTCCTCTGAATATTTCATATGGATACATGCATATTACTCATACTTGCTAATACATCATGCATGTATGTCACAGAGAGATTTGCAGGTGATTTGAGAGATCTAAAGGTGAACTCTAAATGGAGGGGAGGCGCTTCATTCCACCTGCACCCAAGACCATGCCTCTACTGCTGGTCTACAGAACAAACTGCAATAGGAACATTGAGCTGTGCTTGCAGATTTAAATATAACTCCACCATGAAGCCATGGAAAGGAACAGAGGGAGGAGTGAGACATGTGAAGACAATGTGTGATGTTAATGTAATGATGAACTTTCAGTGGGAACAACCCACCGGAATGAAAACACTTTCGACCCCAAAAGAAAGGCTGCATCCATTATTAATTTAGCAAAATGACACAACGTAACACTTGCATTTGGTGTCAGACCTTCCTCTGACACAAAAACGAGGTAAGGCATACAGAAAATAGAAATGTCTTTCATGCAGATTCAGAAATAACGTCGCTAACACATTGAGTCAAAGGGAAGGCATTTTTCTGTGACTCATATTCCAATGTCTGAATCTCTCTATAGAAATAAATTTACTCTCACAGCACTGTGTGTGGGGGAGATGCTTAGATGGTGAGAGCATCACTATAGCAGACAATGAAGCATAGACAGGAGTTCATGTTACAGGGAATTGACTATTGTAACCGATCAACAAACAACAAAATCAATTTTCTAATAACTGACACTAGCTCTTCACATGGCACCTACTATTCACTTGAGATCTAAGAAAACTCATATACTGCAGTCCGCCTCCACACTGACAGTCACTCTCTCAGTGCAAAAGCACAATGTAGCGTAGATAGAGTGGGGCTAAGTGAGTCAATGACAGGAGACGACTTTGCCAAACTGCTGGCTTACAGAAGTTTGAGAAGTCGCCCACTTGGAAGGGATACGATTGAAGGCAGAAGATGGAAGGCAGCCTAAAAAACTATCAAAGCTAAGTCCTCTCTAGGGGGTAAGAGACACGTTGAAATAAGTGCTGGCAAGAGGCTCCAAGACCTAAGACTGCTCCTTTGAAATTCCTTTCCCGGGACAAGCAGTACCAGGAGATAAAAGACACTGAAATGCTTTTTAATCACTTTTCCATTGTGCTTTCAGCATTTGCATTTACCCCCCGTCCCTTTCATTTGCATTCATCATTACTGTGCTGTCAGCTCTTATCGAGTTGTCCCACTGCTAACCAAACAGGAACAAGGAGCAGAAGGAAGGGGATGAGGGGCTCCTTCAACTCTGGTGACTGTCAGGAAGAGGAAGAGGATGACACACACAGACAAAAGCTTGTGTCACTTTGAACAAGTTCCTTAGTTAGGAAGCCCATTAATCAAACCAAACACTGTTGAAAATGCAGCATGCACACATACTATGTATGTGTGTGAGAGCTTGTGAGTGCAGGAGTGTATTTGTGTTTAGCATATGGTTTTATAGATATTCATTGCTGTCAGCCCAGTCCTACCTGCTGTCTGCAGTGTTAGGATGTATCGCGGTGGCTATGTCTCTGTCGGAGAAAGAAAGCTCTATTGACTTATTTATTTATTTTTTATCTGTTGTTTCTTAAATATGCCACCTTGGACTGATTATTCTTAGCCATTCAGAGCAAAACTTTCAAAAGTTTCCATAAAAAAATTTGCAGAAACTTTTACAAAGGAAGGCTTTCTTTCACTAGGGAACGATGTGCGCATTTAAGCTCAATTGAGAGATGCTCTGTTTTCTCCCTCTGGTCCCATACGATAGGCAATAAGATATGTCATGGCTGTGTATAGCTTTACTGTCACTCCACTCTCTCGTGCCTGCAGCTCTCGGAGGGTAAAACCAGCCGTGGACTTAGAGCCCTGTGCATATAATGAGGACATGGGGGACATAGAGAGGATTTCTCTAGCACGGCTATAAGGCTGGGTTCAGAAGGGACAAAAGGGAAGGATTTTTTGGTGTAAAGCGTAGAGAGTGGCAGATGGGCACCCAGTACCCGGCACAGTGTCAGTAATGCCTCGACTGGCACCCTCATCCCTAAAGTCTATTTTCCTTTTCGGGTGGGGAGGGTTGGGGGAAGCTATGCAATCTGCTCTGACTTGGCCCCCATTTACCTCTGACCCAGTCCCCTTCTCTTCTGGGTAATTTACAGGACCCAGGCCTGCCGGCTCCTTTAGAGCTCCCTGGTGCCTGGGGTGTCACAGACAAATTGGTTGATCAGTGTGATTGTAATGCCTGGTTCAGATGCTTTCTTTATGACACCTAATTTACAGACCAAGTGGGGAAAAATGGGGCCATAAAGTTATACGAGGCCAAAGAGAGTCAGACGAGGCAGTGGAGTATCCATCATTCAATTCTCCACCGTTGGCCCCTGACCATATGAGCAATACCTAAAGAAGTCTTTGAAAGAGTCTACATCAAATGCCCTCAGCTAGACAGCTACAAGCTCCCCAACTGTCGGCAAGTAGTATACACAGCCTTCTAGGACAGACAGGCCGAGGAATTCATATTTCAAACTGACAATGCCTGGGGGTTTGATGGGGAACAGTCATGAACTCATAAAAATGACAGATGGATGACCATGTAACCAACCACTGGGCACACCACGTCATTTCAACATGGAAATTTAGGTAATAAGTTGATCAATGAGATTTCAACCTTTATTCATTTTGAGTGGATGTCTGTGTAACTGCCTCAACAGTATTGTGGACCACACACTTTGTTTCCCCTCTGTAAGACAATAATTAATTTAATGATAATGGCAAAGTGGCTTAAGATTTCCCATTGTTGTTTGTGTGTGTGTGTGTGTGTGTGCGTGCATGTGCATGCGTGTGTGTGTGTGTGTGTGTGAAAAGCATATAAAGGGGTGAAGTCCCCGTAGGTGGTGTTGGCAACACTGATTGGAAACTCTGCCAATTCTACCTCTCACTGGTTGCCCACAATAACCAAAGAGCTGTGTGAAACAACCTCAGAGGCCAGTGAAATAAATGCCAAATAAAATATTTACACTTGAGAATTCACTAATATAGTTAGACCTACTAAGCTAGGTCTTTGATAGTTTTTTTTCCCCTGACTTAGCCTATTCCTTTTCTTTGAGAGTTGAGAGAGGTGAATAAAGAAATGTTTCCTATATACAGCCTCCATACAGTACCCTACTGTATACTGAACTTCTAGCAACTGCTTCCTCTTACAGTCCCTCTCTTTTAAAATTACACAATGTTTTTTCATGATTATTTATTTAAGAGTACATTGGAATACCTGCAATGGAGCGATATACATTTATCAAATCCATATATAGCCCAAGATACAGATGTAGGATCTTACAGTTTTTTTTGATTGCTTAAGCACGATTTTCAAAACAGGGCCCGTGTTTTCAAAACACTACACACAATTAGCACAACCACACACCCAATTAGCAAAACACTACAGATCCTTTGCAAAATTAAACACTCTTGTAAAAACTATACACTTCTTTTTAAAAACCACACTTTGTTACCATATGAAACACACACGTTTCACATTACTATACTCTGTTTGCACGAGTTACACTCTGCTGTGATAAACCTAAAACACTTTTAGCACTTCTACTTCCCTATGATTAGAGTAGGCTACTCTCAACAAAGTACAAATATAATGTAAATTCACCAAACACTACACAAGACCAATGTTGCAGACTGAAGAAACTCATTTATTTCTCAACACGCCCAAAATGTTGACATGGAGATTCATAATACTGTAACCAAACGTCACTTTACGTATTGTAAGTTCAAAAAAAATAAAAAAAAATAACTAGACATTGTCTCTTCGCCTAGCTGGATCTGGCCAGAGAATTTCATCAACATCGCAGGCAATGTTGTCATTAGCAAGACACCTTGGAAAGAAACGTCTTGAATGACGAATCCATCCTTGCATTGCTGCTACCTCCATCTGGTCACAGGCCTCCTCCATGGCTTGGATGAGGGGTACCTCAGCCTGGAGACGGAGATCATATACCTTCCACCGCCATGCCGAGAAAAACTCTTCTATAGGGTTGAGGAATGGAGAGTATGGTGGAAGATATAGGACGGTGAAATGTGGATGTTGCTGAAACCAGTTCTGAACCAGAGCAGAGCGGTGGAAAGACACATTGTCCCAGACAACAATGTATTGCATATGATCGATTTGATTTGCTGCTGTTATGTTGTGCAATTGGTCCAAGAATGTAAGTATGAGTGCTGTGTTGTAAGGGCCCATATGGGCATGGCGGTGGAGGACCCCATTCTGTGTAATGGCTGCACAGAGTGTTACAGTGGGGGAAAAAAGTATTTAGTCAGCCACCAATTGTGCAAGTTCTCCCACTTAAAAAGATGAGAGAGGCCTGTAATTTCATCATAGGTACACGTCAACTATGACAGACAAAATGAGGAAAAAAAATCCAGAAAATCACATTGTAGGATTTTTTATGAATTTATTTGCAAATTATGGTGGAAAATAAGTATTTGGTCAATAACAAAAGTTTCTCAATACTTTGTTATATACCCTTTGTTGGCAATGACACAGGTCAAACGTTTTCTGTAAGTCTTCACAAAGTTTTCACACACTGTTGCTGGTATTTTGGCCCATTCCTCCATGCAGATCTCCTCTAGAGCAGTGATGTTTTGGGGCTGTCGCTGGGCAACACAGACTTTCAACTCCCTCCAAAGATTTTCTATGGGGTTGAGATCTGGAGACTGGCTAGGCCACTCCAGGACCTTGAAATGCTTCTTACGAAGCCACTCCTTCGTTGCCCGGGCGGTGTGTTTGGGATCATTGTCATGCTGAAAGACCCAGCCACGTTTCATCTTCAATGCCCTTGCTGATGGAAGGAGGTTTTCACTCAAAATCTCACGATACATGGCCCCATTCATTCTTTCCTTTACACGGATCAGTCGTCCTGGTCCCTTTGCAGAAAAACAGCCCCAAAGCATGATGTTTCCACCCCCATGCTTCACAGTAGGTATGGTGTTCTTTGGATGCAACTCAGCATTCTTTGTCCTCCAAACACGACGAGTTTAGTTTTTACCAAAAAGTTATATTTTGGTTTCATCTGACCATATGACATTCTCCCAATCCTCTTCTGGATCATCCAAATGCACTCTAGCAAACTTCAGACGGGCCTGGACATGTACTGGCTTAAGCAGGGGGACACGTCTTGCACTGCAGGATTTGAGTCCCTGGCGGCGTAGTGTGTTACTGATGGTAGGCTTTGTTACTTTGGTCCCAGCTCTCTGCAGGTCATTCACTAGGTCCCCCCGTGTGGTTCTGGGATTTTTGCTCACCGTTCTTGTGATCATTTTGACCCCACGGAGTGAGATGTTGCGTGGAGCCCCAGATCGAGGGAGATTATCAGTGGTCTTGTATGTCTTCCATTTCCTAATAATTGCTCCCACAGTTGATTTCTTCAAACCAAGCTGCTTACCTATTGCAGATTCAGTCTTCCCAGCCTGGTGCAGGTCTACAATTTTGTTTCTGGTGTCCTTTGACAGCTCTTTGGTCTTGGCCATAGTGGAGTTTGGAGTGTGACTGTTTGAGGTTGTGGACAGGTGTCTTTTATACTGATAACAAGTTCAAACAGGTGCCATTAATACAGGTAACGAGTATAGGACAGAGGAGCCTCTTAAAGAACAAGTTACAGGTCTGTGAGAGCCAGAAATATTGCTTGTTTGTAGGAGACCAAATACTTATTTTCCACCATAATTTGCAAATAAATTCATTAAAAATCCTACAATGTGATTTACTGGATTTTTTTTTCTCATTTTGTCTGTCATAGTTGACGTGTACCTATGATGAAAATGACAGGCCTCTCTCATCTTTTTAAGTGGGAGAACTTGCACAATTGGTGGCTGACTAAATACTTTTTTTCCCCACTGTATATTACCCCCACGTTGCCCTGGGACATTGACTATAGCCCTGTGGCCAATGATGTTTCTTCCCCTCCTTCGTGTTCTCGTCAGGTTGAACCCAGCCTCATCTACGTAAATGAACTCATGCTGGATCTCCTCTCCATCCATTCGTAAAACTCTCTGAAAAACAGTGTCAGGCAAAATTGTGTAGTTCAGTGTAGATCTAGTATACATATTACAGTACAGTAAAAGATTATGAGACAGTATGCAAGATCACACTGCTAAAGTGAATACATACCTCTGCATAATCATGCCGCAGTCGTTTCACCCTTTCGGAATTGCGCTCGAAAGGCACTCGATAAATTTGCTTCATTTGAATATGTTTTTTTTTTAGGATGCGTGCCAGTGTTGATGTTGAGACCTGATGGATATCGTTGAAAATGGCGTGGTTATTGACAATGTTAGCTTGGAGCTGCTTGAGTGTTATAGCATTGTTGGCCAAAACCATGTTTACTATCTCCCTCTCTTGCTGTTCTGTGAACATAGGAGGCCTTCCCCCTTGTCGTCCCTGACCCTCAATCCTATGTAGAAAAAAAAACAGTATACAATAGTACAGTAATTTCACAGGAAAAGGTAACAGAAGTGCTGATAGTGCATAGAATATAGTACTGTAAGCAGTTACTGAAACCGTGCAGATGTTTTTGATATGATGATATTTTTACAATACCTATTTTCCAGTCGAAATGTTCTCATCACACTTGCCACTGTATATCGGCTTAGATTTGGCTGTACTCGCAGTCCAGCCTCCCTCAGCGTCAGGCCGTGGTTGACAATGTGGTCAACCAGTGTTGCGCGGATCTCATTTGTCAGATTCGGTCCTCTTTGAGCACCTTCTTGTCTTCCTCTTCCTCTTCCTCTTCCTCTTCCTCCCCTTCCTCCTCCTCCTCCTCCTCCTCGTTCTCCTCCTCGTCCTCCTAGTTCTCCTCGTCCTCCTCGTCCTCCTCGTTCTCCTCGTTCTCCTCGTCCTCCTCCTCGTTCTCCTCGTCGTCCTCCTCCTCCTCCTCCTCCTCCTCCTCGTCTTACTCTTTCTCTGACTCTTTCCATTGTGCTTGAAGACCGATGAACTCACCTGCTGCTTTTTATAGTGCTTATACACCTGATTGGTGTGTCTACAATTAAGCAAACGAGTGTTTGCACACCTGATGACTGTGTTGAACCAATTGGTTGGACGGTGTGGTAATTTGACAGTCAGTGCTTTGGTATTGCAAGGACGTGACTTCATGATAGATTTTTGTGTGTAATGTATGTTAAGTGTGTTTAGTGTTTTG